ACTTTGATCAACACACAAAAAAGTACACCACGCGCACTCTCAAACAAAAATATTCTTTACAAACTGCGCACGAGGTGCGGGCATACATATGTACTGTACAACGTACAGACATTAGTCAAGGTTATTAAAATTATGAAATGTAGCAATCGGAGTTGTCCGTAAATAGCATCTGCATTTGCCCCTCTCTCTCTTTGAGGCAGCCACAAAAACTATTTTTAAATTGAGGAAATTCCACACTTCGGCACATGGCAGGGGCAGATCGATTAAAGCCAACAAATCGACTGTAAGAGCACCTCAGAATTGTACTCCGAGTCGGGCTTCGACTTGGACTTGGACTTGGACTTCGACTCATTACGATTACCCACAAATACAAAATGCTGAGTAATGCTCGGGCCTCTTTGTCTCCCATCGCACACCCTCCCCACAGCCTCACCCCAGCAAGCACTTTGATAGAATAGATCTACACCAAAGATGGTATCGGAGATGGCGGAGTATCAAAAAGAAAGAGCTATGTTAATACAGAATAAGTATAAATAGTATAGCAGATCTCCCAATGATAAATGCAATACGAAAGATTTAAAATGTTCGGGTTGCACTGAAAGGGAGATGGATGAACTCCTCCTCCTCCTCCAGCTATGCAAGTAGCTGGAATACTCGAATACTCGTACATTTGCAGTCAATTTCTATATTTATTTGCATGTGCACTAAATGCATTCTAATCGCCTTCTGACCTTCATGACACTTGCAATCAATGGAAAAATGTTGCGTTATATATATAGTGTAATCTATATATACCCCCAGTCGTACCCGTACCCGCACTCCCAAGTGCATTTGTCTGAATGCCGGTATATACGAGTACATTGGGATTAACTAATCAATTTCCTGCTTGAAAAAACTGTATTGAGATCTATGTATTTTGAACAAAATTCTCGATGGAATTCTCGGCAATATGGGTTAGTAAAATTTATTATTTTCAATGTCCAGAAAGTGCATGTGCACTCTGCGAGAGTTAATGGAGAAGTCTCTCTCACCCTTCGCCCTAATATTTCCCAGTCGCAGGGACATAAAAAAAGTCTCCATTCGACTGCATATCTCATGCATAAGAACTGCAAATGTGAATAAAGCATATCAGTCAGTGACAGATGTCTCCCCCTCGTTCTTTCTTTCAATCTCTTATGCCCATAGGCATCTACTATTCATGGTATTTCTACCCACAATCGAATCGCCTTACACCCCATTCATAAATGCAATTCAGATTGAACCTTGAACGAAACATGGATGTCTTGCACTCTTCATAATCAATAATTTTCAAAATGTATTCGTAACCAGGGGTCAGGCTAGCATTGAAACAAGACCGAAATACTTACATGCGAACACCAGATGATAACGTCCCGTGGAGAGAGGGTAATGTGCATACATATGTATTTCAAATGCATTTACATCGAACATCTTCGAACAGAAGTATCTGTGTCTGTCCCTGTGGCTGTAGCTGTGTGGGTCTAGCTGGCTCCGCACACTTTACCAATCTATTTATAAACAATTTATGACGCATATCAAAGCTGGCAATAAACCTAACACGTCGGCGAACGGGGCGGCACAAAGGAAAATTAAAAACTGCATTGATAAGGCAAAATAATATGTACATACATGTGTCAAAAATAAATACGAAATTGATTACAAATAAAAGGGCAGACTGTACATAAGAGAGAGAGAGAGAGCGACTTGATTAATAAATTTTCTTTCGTACTATTACTATCTTTTGAAGGGTTCCCTATCTGACGTCGCAGCCATGGTATGATAAGAACGATACGGATTTGAATAATGAGCGTGCCCAGAAGGCGTACACCGCCATGCTGACCGTCACCCCCAAACAGCCCAACGACAATGAGTACACGCGGGTGTCCAATGAGGTGAGTGGTTATGGGGGTCCATGGATATTTGCATCGAAATGGACGTGGCAGCCAATTTGAAAATTTTTCCCAGATTTCTTTTGTTGCTCTTTTGTAGTCACTTCCTTCTTTCTTTTTTGCTGCTGTTGCGAGGCATTCCTCGCTTTTTGGGCCAGCCTCAGCCTCATGCATACTCAATGCCAGTGCACGTTCCTTTCCCTCTCTTTCGACCACAGCCTATTTTGCATAGAGCCGCAGCAGGGAACAGGAGCAGAGAGGCTAGAGAGGAATCGTAAACATTTTTCTGTTGATACATGGTAAATTTACAACAAACACAGCCCCGACAACACCTGAGAGCATTTGTTGTCCCAACTTCTCACTGAAGTGCACTCGTAAAAGCCAACCCACAGAATATCCCCACAACCAAACCAAAGGAAAGCAAATGAAAATGGGGCTGCTGCTGCTGCTGCTGCTGCACTTGCTGATAAGCAGACACTTGCCTCTCTATGTATCTGTTAGATACACGTACTAAGTCCTTAGAGACACAGACAAACATGAGAGCCGCCTGGCCTAATGAGCCGCCATCGTTGACAGAGCCCTAGACTCTGGATCTCTGGCCACATTTTCCATCAATACTCGGCCAGTGGAGAGTCTCTAATCTCAAGTCTCTCAGTCTCTCTTAACAAGTTAGTATGTACTTTCTTGGCATCTTGTCCGTTCCGCTCAATGTATATTTGTGCAACCGCAACTCTTTGCCAGGCCAAATCCCTGTCAAAGTCGGAGGCCAAAACTAAATCCCGCCATTGGCACAACTTTGGCTCTGGAGCAGTGGACCTCCTGACAGGCGGTCTGCAATAATTTCCACACGGATTGTGACAAAAAGTCACAGACATTCCAGCGTAGCAATCGCAATCCCTTGCATTTTCCAGGCGAGCGAACGCGTAATTGAATTTTCACGGGGGAGGTGGCGGCCAAAGCAATTAAAGAACAAAAGTGCCAGGAGCCACGAAGAACAATTGATGGTACCTTTTGGCTAGGGACTAGCTACAATATAAGAGAGTCAGTTGAGATTAATGCGTTTGGAACCTTACCCCTTTTACAGATCAAAGCCATTGCAGCGGACAAATACAACTACACGTTCAGCGACAATGAACCGATTTCGGCATTTGTCACGTCCTTCTTCGACGGGGTCCTGCTCTATGCGAACGCCCTGAACGACAGCATCCGGGAGGATCCCAGCATGCTGACACGCCCCATCAATGGCACGGACATGGTGCGACGGATGTGGAACCGCAGCTTCACGGGCATCACCGGCAACGTGACCATCGATGCCAATGGGGACCGTCTGTCGGCCTACTCCCTGCTCGATATGAATCCCAATACGGGGCGCTTTGAGATTGTGGCCCACTTTCTGCACAATCGCCTGGAGTTCGAGTCAAATAAGGAGATCCACTGGGCAGGGGATCGCGAGGAGGCGCCATCGGATCATCCAAGCTGTGGTTATGATGGCGCTCTGTGCCCCGACAATTGTGAGTGGATTTAAGCCATATAAAACCGGAATCGTCCTTTCATTTGAATGACTCTTTCAGCTCTTCCTGGCTATGCCATACTCTCGATAGTCCTGGGCACCATGGTGATCATCATGGTGGTGTGCTTTTTCTTTGGCTACCGCCACTACATCGCTGAAGCGGAGATCAATTCGATGAGCTGGAAAGTCTCTCTGGAGGATGTCATGTTCCGGGATACCGCCGAGCGGGGTCTGCGTGGATCCTTTCACTCGCTGGTGAAGCAGAGCTCCCAGCTGACGCTGATGTCCGAGGACATGGTGTCGATTAATGGGGATCGCCAGATCTTCATACCCGTGGGCATGTTCCGCAAGAGCAAGGTGGCCATCAAACCCATCGAAGTGGACAATGTCCAGGCGCTGCTCACGCGCAACCTTATGCTGCAGCTGAAGCGGATGAAGGACCTGCAGCACGATCATTTGGTGAAGTTTTATGGTGCCTGCCTCGACCAGAGGCGCAGCTTCCTGCTCACCGAATACTGTCCGAAGGGCTCGCTGCAGGATATCCTGGAGAACGAGCAATTCCAGCTGGACTGGATGTTCAAGCTGTCTCTCATGCACGACATTGTCCGGGGCATGCAGTTCCTCCACAGCTCCGACATTCGATCACACGGCAATCTCAAGTCCTCCAACTGCGTGGTGGACTCCCGCTTCGTCCTGAAGATCACCGACTTTGGCCTACACACACTGCGACGTTCGCGCTACGACCTGGAGAGCGATGGAGGCAATTGCAACAGCCACGCCTACTGGAGCAGTACGTAACCGCAAACCCATTTTAGTACATTTCTCACTCTCAATCCTCCACCCCATTGCAGACCTCCTGTGGACGGCCCCGGAGCTCTTGAGGCTCGAGCAGCAGCGTGCCCCCGAGGGAACCCAGAAGGGCGATGTCTATGCCTTTGGCGTCATTGTGCACGAGATAACCACACGACAGGGCCCCTTCTTTCTCGGAAAGTGTGCGTATGAGAAATCGCCACAAGGTATGAAATTGCTTTTGTCCTGCCACTGCAACTGCTCCTCTGTATCCTCTACACCGTCCACCGTCCGGGGCTAAGTATTTCTCTTCTTTGTTCGTGCTGCGGCTGATTTTGCTTGTGCGGAATTTTAATGCCAGATTTTTGCACATGTTGCGGTTGCTCCGTGGTTTGGTGTTGTATTGTTGCATGTGGCTGTGGGTGCCGGTCTCCGATTTCGTGCACAAATTAGCACATGAATGTCCTGCCTGGCAAGTCTCTGACTATCACTAAATTGATGGTTAGCCTCGGGAATGACCTGATACCAATGTGTGTGACTGGGTTCACAGTGATTTAAAGGCTTAAAGATGTGTACATAAAAGATGGGACTTCAAGAGATTTTAATATCTAAATGGACACCAAATGAATAATCATTTATGTTTTGAATGGGCCAAGAACTATAGCTATTTTATAGGGGTAATTTGGAGGTTATTAAAACCCTCCCTATAGAAATAGAAGAAATCCTCAATTAATGAATTATTCAATATAATCTTTGAAAGGATTAGAAGAGTCAATAAATCGATTCAACTAAAAGTAGCACTGACTTTATGCTACTTTATTCATACTACAACTTCATACCTACTCTTTGCCCCAACTTCCTATGAAAAGTAAAGTCATTGAATGCCTGGCAGAACCTAAGGCCAAATTCAGATCTCGCACCGATTTCAATTGCCGCTGAAAACTTGGTCTACAACTTGCCACAGATAGTAAGAGAGGGAGAGAGAGAGAAAGATACCAATGGCAAGCACTTGACAAATTCATCAAATTATGCACTGACTTGAGTTTGGGGGAATCAGGCGGCGGTCCCATCCTGCCAGTTGCCCGCCACAGAGTGGAACTGTTGTAGACAGTTTTGGAGAGTTTCGGTTGTGCCTGGAAAAGACGAATTTAATTGCGGTCTCAGCACACACTCGAAATCGAAATCAAATTGCACGGCTGACCCAAAAAGTTGTCGACGAAGAAGTTGTCGGAATCACGAACTCGTCTCGCGGCAGCAGTAGGGCACGTCCAGGCTGTCCAGGCTGCCAGAATCGAGGCCCAAGCCGCAGCTGTGACGCATCCAGGACCAGCAGCCTGGTTGATGCCGCCTGCTCTTGCCCTTGTTCTTGCCACGGATGTCAGTACTAGTGCGGCTACCACTTCTGGCCAGGTCGATGCTGCCGCACGGCTCTAACCAGGCTTGGTTCAGCTTTTTCTGTCGCTCCAGCTGCCACAGCCACTCGATGCGGGATTTGCCCCAGCCACAGCGAAGCTCTGGTGGCGATTTGTCGCAAATGCCAAAGACCACGTCGGCATCGGTTGGTTCGGGTTGCGTTTTGTTGTCCATGCCTCCGACTCGTCTGAGGACAGACGGGTGCAGCGACCGCCTTGACCTGGACACGGACATCATTAGACCCATAATTTGGCATTCCGATTGCAGGTCCTGTTCGCTGTAGACGGACCGCAGCAGGTCCTCCTGATGAAACCAATTGGGATTCATACTGTAGGCAATTGAGTTGGGCGATCTGCCCCGCAGAAGATGTGGACAAATCAATCGGTCCTCGATGCTCATGTCTGTTTGTGTGTGTTTTCTTATATCAGGTGTAGCAGCCAGCTCCCTAGCCAGAGCAGGACAAAAAATGACATTAGACACTAACAATTTACATATTTCGGGGGCAGTGGATCGAAACTTGAATGGAAATATCTCTCACCCGAATGAAGTCTAACCCAAGGCCTCTCCTTCTAATATTCCAAAACACAGAGATCATCGAGCTGGTGAAGAACTACCATCCGTCGCGTATGCCGAAGCCATTCCGTCCCGATCTCGAACCCTTTGGCGACACCAAGGCCGACATCAATGGCATCATTCGACGCTGCTGGGCCGAGGATCCTGCCGAGAGGCCAGACTTCAACACCCTCAAATCCATGATACGGAAGTTTAACAAGTAAGTGGGGCAATAGCTTAGATCTGTAGATCTCTAGATAATCATGTGGCTTGGTCATTTCCAGGGATAATGAAACTGGCAACATCGTGGACAATCTGCTCAAACGCATGGAGCTGTATGCCAACAATCTGGAGGAGCTCGTGGAGGAGCGCACTCAGGACTACCACGAGGAGAAGAAGAAATGCGAGAAGCTGCTGTACCAGCTCCTGCCGCAGAGTGTGGCCGCTCAACTGATCAGCGGACAGCCCGTGGTGGCCGAGACCTTTGACCAGGTGACGATCTACTTCAGTGACATAGTGGGCTTTACGGCCATCTCGGCGGAGAGCACGCCCATGCAGGTGGTGCAGTTCCTCAACGATCTGTACACCTGCTTCGACTCGATTGTGGAGAACTTCGATGTGTACAAGGTGGAGACGATTGGCGACGCGTACATGGTGGTCTCCGGCCTGCCCATTCGGAATGGGAATCAGCATGCGAGGGAGATTGCCCGCCTGGCGCTGGCCCTCCTGGAGGCAGTGCACAACTTCAGGATCCACCATCGGCCGGAGGATCGGCTCAAGCTGAGGATCGGCCTGCATACGGGCGCCTGCGTGGCCGGCGTGGTGGGCCTGAAGATGCCCCGCTACTGCCTCTTCGGGGACACCGTGAACACGGCCTCTCGCATGGAGTCCAATGGGGAGGCCCTTAAGATCCACATTAGCGAGACCACAAAGGTGGCTCTGGACGAGTTCGGTACCTTTGTGACGACCCGTCGGGGCTTTGTACCCATGAAGGGCAAGGGCGAGATGCTCACCTACTGGCTGGAGGGAGAGGTGCCCAGGCCGGATGACCACCTCTCGCCCAGCAAACTCATGCTCTCGCGGCGATCCTCACTCAAGCAGCCGCAGCGCCAGCACTCACTCCACAAACAATACTCAGAGCTGGTTGTGGCAGCGCCACCGCCGCTGCTAGCGGCAGCCGTGCCGGTCATTGCACTGCCGCCGCCCAAAGAGAACTCGCCCAATCTCCGCGTGAAGCGCAAGATCAGCTCCAGCTCGCCCAAGTTGAATGGCAGCAGCTTCGACTACCAAAAGACTGAGAACAACTACTATCTGGATGCGGAGGCGGCCGGCCAGAAAGCGTACGACATCTACAGCAGCCGCTCGCTGCGGGACATGGAGGAGGCCAGCGATAGCTGGGAGCTGGCCCACTTCCGCCTGCCGCTCAGCGGGGCCCTCAAGAACCACAACAACAATCACGGACATGTCCAATCGAATTCGAACTCCAATCTGAGCGGCATCCTCCAGCCGCTGCCAGCGTCCGGCCGCAGCCGGCTGAAGCCCTCGCCCACGATCTCAACGCTGCTGACGAGCAGTCGCAGCGATGCCAATGCCTCTGGCTTGGACACGGGCAGCCTGGGTAGTGCCCAGAGGATCAAGTTTGCCGATGGCGATGAGACCTCACTGCTAATCGGGAAGCAGAAGGGAATGCAGCCACAGATGCAGATGCAGCCGCCGGCGGCAGTGGCAAAACCCCTGGTGATGGGCAGCAGTCCCCAGCGGAGTGCGAGCAGCTGCAGCAGCCAGAACATTCCAACGGCCAACGTGGGCGCAGACGCCACCCACCACTACGGATACCTGGTGAAGAACTATAAGCAGTTGCCCCAGGTGGCGGGTCGTGGAGCAGGTGCCGGCAGTGCCGTGACACAGCCCCTGCTGGCCAAGATCAACTCGTAGTTGTAAGCGGGGGGAGACTGCCCGCCCAAAGCAGAGGCTGTCTCCCCCGTAGGGATATACTCGTAATTATGCATATTATGTACATGTACTTGTTTGTGATAATAAGTTAAACCCAAGTTGAACAACTTAGTTGGTAGCCATCGACTTGGAGCCCATAGTCGATGGATAAGTGAGACGGAAATCAAATTCGAAATTTGTATAAGACTCTGCGAAAGTGTTTTGCTTAGCTTTTAATCACCTCCTTTCCTTACTCGTAAGTAGCGAATTTTATCCATAATATCGGTGTAAATAGGATATTTACTCCCCCCCCTCCCCGCAACCGATCTGTTCCTTGTGCTTTGAATATTCATTTCTCCAACTCAGACAACTAGTTTAAACTTTAAACTGAAAGTAACCTAGATCTAGAAGTTAAGCGTAGACAAAATTGTGAAATTTTTTTCGTGTATGTGTAAAGTATTAGAGGAACATGAATATTTATTTGAAAAATTGACGAATAAAGGGGTTATACCTGAGAAATATAAGGATTTGTGTTAAATTTCTGTTATAGATTAAGGAATTAAATTGTTTTCTGAGTAATCAATTCTTTGTTTGAATGCAAACTTTAACTGCTGAGCTGGCGCCAAACGGTTAAAATTTTCATATGCTTGGTCACACTGATTTTCATGCCACCATGTCTAGCTCACACACCTTGCTAATTTTAAACTTTTCATAACATTGTCCAGTATATTTGAAACGCGGTATGGACCGTTTGCCTAAGCCTTATTTTGGAATCAATAAAGATGGGAATCTAAATTTAACTAATCTTGTAGGAAATTGATATAATAATCGAATATAGAACTTGAGTTCGTCAGTATATTTACGGTATATTTTGAAAATGAGGCGGTATGTTTCGGTATATCTGTGAGGGTCAGACCGTATGTTCGATCTGCGATACTTCCGCGGTCACACTGATGTTGTTGTTGATTAGCCGGAGTTTTGTTTTTTACGCGTTTTTCCACTTGTTTTTCTGCTGATTCTAACTGTCAGACTATTTAGCAGTAATTATATAGTTGATACTAGTGTGCGGCGTCAATAGCGGGTAAGTAGATAAAGCCATACGGCGTGCAGACAGCATGCGCAGCATTGCATAATTTTACATAGCAAATGGGTTGAATGAATTGCAAAATTCATTGATTGATATGCTGCTGCTCTTCGGTGAAGTAAAGTGAACTTTGGTGCCGTGCCAGAAAGAGTAGGTGCTAATAGTAGAACATTCGACACCCTTTTTGCGCACCTATCTCTTCCCGTGTGATGTCGTCGAGGCAAATGTGATTCCCGTTTGGTGCCGCTTCGGCGACTGATAATTTCGGAGATTAATTGTGAAACGACCGCCCCCATAAAACAAAGGCAATTGGTCATAGAGGTATTCAGTCATTGCTTGCGCTTGGGTTTATCAGAACGCTCGCCAGTCGTCGTCGGACGTGCTTTGATATCAGAAGCAGCTTGTCAAATGAGTAAATAGTTCAACCGCTTACAGGCAAAATGTTGTACTGCCCGCCGAATGTGACGCTCAGCGAGGTGTGGACCAAACATGGCATCTCTCACTGCTTCATGGACACCGTGGGTCCGTCGGTCTATGGTGGATTTATACTGCTCTTTGGATGCATACAGCTTCTGATGTACCGAAGGTATGCCACTCGCATCACGGATCCCACACAGATCTCCAAGTCGCGGCTTTATGCCCTGCAATTGTTCCTGCTGTTCCTGTTGCCCGTGTTAGCTGTAATGCGATTCTTCTTGAATGCTCGCATCTACACAGACAGTGCTGTTTATGGCTATATGGTGAGTACATTGCTCTCTGTCTCACAGGAAAGCATTTGATGACCTCTCTATGACCTTGCTTTAGATCTATTCAACTGTTGTGGTGTGCTTTGCATATCCATTTAGCATCTGTTTGATACTTAAGGAGCGTTTCTATCTACTTCCATCGGTGCCAACGCGAGGGCATGGACTTGTTCTTCTGCTGTTTTGGACCCTGGCCTTTATCAATGAGTCGCTGGCTTTTATTAATCTGAGACACGAGGATTGGTGGTTCAATCTTAAGAGGTAATTAGAAATACCCTTTCCAATTCCATAAATTACCTATGATTTATCTTGCCCTTCCAGCAACAAGGACCAAATCGAAATGGGACTATTTGTCACGCGCTTCCTAGTCTCTCTGCTCATCTTTGTGCTGGGTCTAAAGGCCCCTGGCATTATGGCGCCCTATCATCAGCGACTGGTGGACAATGACTCATCCAGCGAGTCGCAGGCGAATGCACAGACGGGTTCCGCCTTTAGAAATGGCTGGCGCAAGCTGCGCAAAATCTTTCCCTATCTGTGGCCCAAAAAGGATTTGGCACTGCAAATCGCTGTCCTCATTTGCATCATGATGCTGATTGCCGGACGCGTCATTAAATTGTTTTTGCCGATTTATCGCAAGAAGTTGGGTAGGTCATGTTTTTTGGTGAGGAATTTCCTACAGTCATTTTGCTAATCTCTCGCCTTGCCTTCTTTAGTGGACAGCTTGACCATCGAGCCGATAATCTTCCGTTATGACTTTGTGCTGATCTATGTGGCCCTGTCGTTCCTCCAAGGCGGCGGCACTGGCACCATGGGCCTGTTCAACAATCTGCGCACCTTCCTCTGGATTCGTGTGCAGCAGTACACGACCCGTGAGATTGAGATCGATCTGTTCCGTCATCTGCATCAGCTATCTCTCAGATGGCACCTGCAGCGCAAGACGGGGGAGGTGCTGCGTGTTATGGATCGAGGCACGGACTCGATTAATAATCTGCTCAACTATATTGTGTTTTCCATCACGCCCACAATTTTGGATCTGCTGGTGGCTGTGGCCTTCTTTATCTATGCCTTCAACTGGTGGTTCGGCTTGATTGTGTTCCTCACAATGTTCTTGTATATAGGTACATAAGAGATCTTATCCCTTGGATTTTGAATCGAACGTTTCATCTAACGTCTTCTCTTTGCAGCCTCCACAATTGCGATTACGGAATGGCGCACGAAATACCAAAGAAGAATGAATATGGCAGACAATGAGCAGCGTGCACGCAGTGTGGACTCTTTGCTGAACTTTGAGACTGTTAAATACTACGGAGCGGAGAATTACGAGGTGGATTGCTACAGGGAGGCCATTCTCAAGTACCAGAAGGAGGAATTCCTGTCGATGCTCACCCTCAACATGCTCAACACCGCTCAGAATATTATACTGTGCCTGGGTCTCCTAGCCGGCTCCCTCCTTTGCGTGTATTTGGTGGTCCATCATCAGACCCTCACCGTGGGTGACTTTGTGCTGTTTTCTACCTATTTGATGGAGTTGTATATGCCTCTAAACTGGTTTGGCACCTACTATCGGGCCATCCAGAAGAACTTTGTGGACATGGAGAACATGTTTGATCTGCTGCGTGAGGATGAGGAGATTGTTGATGCGCCCGGATGTGCCCCCCTTCTCACAGCAGGCGGTGGCATTGAGTTCTCAAATGTGACGTTTGGCTACACCCCAGAGAAGATTGTCCTGCGCAATGTGAACTTCACAGTGCCTGCCGGCAAGACTGTGGCTATTGTTGGTCCTTCGGGAGCTGGCAAGAGCACAATCATGCGTTTGCTCTTCCGATTTTACGATGTACAGACGGGAGCCATCCTGATCGACGGCCAAAACATAAAGCTCGTGCAACAGCAGAGCCTGCGCAAGGCTATTGGTGTGGTGCCCCAGGACACGGTGCTGTTTAACAACACCATTTTCTATAACATCGAATACGCAAAGTTGGGGGCGTCTGACGAAGCCGTCTATGAGGCGGCCCGAGCAGCCGACATTCACGAGAAGATCCTCAGCTTTCCCGACCGCTACGAGACGAAGGTGGGCGAGCGTGGACTGCGCCTGAGTGGCGGCGAGAAGCAGCGAGTGGCCATTGCCCGCACCCTGCTAAAGGCACCCATCATTGTGCTGTTGGACGAGGCCACCTCCGCTTTGGACACGCACACAGAGCGCAACATCCAGGCGGCTTTGGCCCGCGTATGCGCTAATCGAACGACAATTATTGTGGCGCATCGGCTGTCGACCATCATTCATGCGGATGAGATTCTGGTGCTGCAGGACGGCAGCATTGTGGAGCGGGGCCGGCACGAGCAGCTGGTCCAGCGTAACGATGGCATCTATGCGGACATGTGGCAGCAGCAGCTCAAAAATCTGGATGCAGAACAAAATGCCGCAGACAATGCAGAGGCAGAGAATGCGGGCTTCGAAAAACCAAAGCCGGCACGTGATGCTAGCGGTGGTGCGGGTGTTGCGGGTGGTGCTGGTGCTGGTCCCAGTGGTGGTGCCCACTTTCGAGCAGGACATGCTCATGGTGGAGCGCGTTAACCGTAGCTTTAAGTAGGCACTTTTTTGTTATTCCTATTATATTCCATGTGTGATGTGTGGTATTTTGTTATACGTTTATGATGCATGAGCAATTTGTCGAAAGTCTAAGTTCGTTTATAAGTAATCTTATGCGCTACTCTTAAAATAAATAACGTAGATTTTTATAGACCCAATCACAACGACTGTTCTAGGATACATTTTAAGAGAATCTTGCAAAGAGGGAGAGAGAGAGACTGCGATTGCTCTCGAGCGGCTCTTCTGCTTATCAGCACAGCACTGAAACTCCGGCAAGGCCAGCCCTGGCCCTGAAGTCCGCTCTGAGGCTCAGTACGAGAGTGGAACGCGAGCTGAGCAGACGTGGAAATTCCATAAAGACAAGACGCGGCTTTTGTGGTGATAAAGGAATAACGTCGGCTTTTTTTTAAATCGAATCAGATAATACTCCATATATACGTTTATATATATAAATTACAAAAATATCCTGAAAGTGAAAACCATTTTGGGAGCCAGTGAAACTGTGAAAAGAGTGTCCACCAGCACGTCTCTGGCCATGAGGCGACTCAAGTGTTCCGTGTTTGTGTGTACGTAAATTAACCTAATTGATAATCCCAAAAACTATATCAGAAAATAATTCAAGAACATGACGTAATGTTTCATTGAAGAAGCTGAAAAATAAATAACATTGATTAAAAGCGTTTCGCGATCGTCATGTACACACTCGTACTCGCATAAATCATCAGCATATACAGTATGCTGCTATATATGTATATATATAGCATGCCCATACAATTTATTGCATGGATGGTATAGATGGATGCCCTGTCATGTACATATATAAGAAACGAAATTCAATTGATAATTGAAGAGTTTATTGCCCATCCAATTGCAAGAGAGAGCGAGCGAGCGAACATCTCGAATTGAAATTCAATTTCCCCAATCTATCTATCTATCTGTCAGATCTTTTCCTGATCTTCGATGCCGGGCATGCCTTCAACATCATTGGCCTCAACAAGCAGATGCTCTACGAGTATGTCGGCAATGTACTGGTGGGAGCCAAGCCCCAGGACGAGGGACATCCATCACCACCTACGACAGGCTGGATTGTGCGGGGCAAGCTGACGTTGCAGAGGCAGAGTGAATTGGTCATGGCAGCAGCGGTGAGTTATCCCCTTGGAAATATTTTATTTCTAATCTCTCAGGCGACCCCCGATAAGTAATTGTTAATTGGTATTCCTTAGGTTACAAATAATAATTGCAAAAATATTATTGTTTATAAAACAAAACAAAAACAGTCATATTTTGATTATTGTATATTGAAGATTGCATTTTGGAATGTTCTTATGGAAATTCCCCTAAATTTATATACGATGTATAACTTTTTCCCATATAATCATGAGTATATATAATACACACACATGTATATATGTAAATCAATTGAAAATCAGTTAAAATATTCAATCAATTTATTGATTTCATTAACAATTTGTACAATTCAGTCAATCGAGATGTCAGAAGATCTGTGGAGTGGCATTGTACACCCATTCTACATACAGTTCCATTCGCAGAGAATTCTGTGCAGACAACAGACATTGCAAAAAGGAAAAAAAGAATTCGCAGATGAATTAAAAACAATTTAACCTTTCACAGAGACGACTCTCACGGAGAGAGAAGGAGATGATAGAGATGGAGATGGAGATGGGGAGTACGAGAGTACACAATGATCTGAACTCGGGCTGTGAACTTCTTTCATTGTCGGAGATGCTGCTGCCAATACATGCATTCAATTCACTGTTCCCTTCCCCTTCGCATAATATATATACTATGTATATCTCTTGAAGATCCGTGTGTGTTTGTGTGTGTGTGTTTGTTCGTAATCAGTTCTGATTGTTTTGACTGGAGGCGGCTGCTGTTCTAGGAGTAGGCCCTACCTTATCAGCGGACCGCCATGCGATCCGGCGCGATGCATGTGTGTGGCATATGTAAAATGTTTGTTTTTTGTTTGTCAGATAAACCCAACCCCCCGTATCATCCCTGTCTCACGAGTGGGTTTCCCCAACTAAAGCACAATCTTTAAATGGAATCTTTTGCAGCTGGTCATCGATGATGTAACGCTTAACAATTCGGGAGAGAAGTTCCTGCAGAATAAGGAGATGTATCCACCATATAAACCCTTCAAGATCGTGCTCACAGAAAACGGCAGCATATCACATGTGGTCTTCAAGGAGGGGGATCCCATATGGTCCATGAATTTTAAGCGTGCCATTGCCTCTGTCCTGCAGTTCCAAATGAAGTCTAGCGGGGCCTTTGTCCTAGATGAGGTAATGTTTAGGCATGTAATAATTAAATTATCGCTTAATTCAAAGATTCTTTCAACAGCTTGGCATTCACGGCACCTGTCGGACGGAGTACTTTGTGTCTAACAAAACCAACTACATATCCATTAGGAAAACCCCCGAACTGAAGACCTGCACTCCCTATTCGGAGGCTGTGCACATCACCAGAAGCAATGTCCCACCAAACACTTGCGAATTTGATCACCAGAAGAGCGTCATAATCGGAAACGAGGCCATCTATGGGATGCTGCCGCACAACGAGACGGGCTACTTCCTGAGCATGGCCCATGCCAAGGGCACGACTCTAATACACACCTTCGAGTCCACGGGGGAGGCGCAGTACATCAACTCCGAGCTGCTGCTGAATTTTCAGAACGAGACGCCCATCGACAATCCCATTGATATTGAGACTTCCATGGCTGCGGAACCATCTAGCCTGGAGCTGCAGCCACTGGAACCCAACGATCCGACGGGCGGACGCAATCCCCAGCAGCAGGAGACACTGATCGTCCAGGCAGGTGGACTGCTGGACAGTCTAGCCGAGGCCCTAGAGAGCACGGAGTTCAAGTTCAGTGAGCCCTACGATTCGACGCTGTCGGACGTGATCAAGTTGCTCAGCGAAATGGACTTCGAGTCGCTGAAGAAGCTTTACCGGGAGGTGGACATTGGCACCTCGTACCGCCAGGAGACCATCCGGAATATATTCCACGAGATCATACCCCGCATCGGCACCAAGGCCTCGGTGTTTCTCACCCACCACCTCATCGTACGGAAGATGACCAAGCCGCAGATTGCCGTGCAGCTACTTATTCCCATGCCATTCCACATATTTGAACTGTCGGCGGAGCTGGTCCACGTGTGCGAGGACTTCTTGAAGATTGGACCCGATCGCCCGGACGTGCGCCAGGCGGCGATCCTCAGTTTTGCCACGCTCGTGCACAATGTCTATGTGGCACGAGGAATCGACAAGGATGAGTTCGAAGAGTATGTTCAGAAGTACTTTAATGCATATTTGAGTGAGTAGCAGGTCCTCCCTTTAAATGATCGCCCACTGATTCTGTCTTCTGTTTCCTCTCCAGATGACCGCGACTTTGAGCAGAAGATGCTGTACCTGCAGGGCCTGAACAACCTACAGCTGGGAAACGTGGCCAACTACTTGGAGCCGATTGTTCAGGATCCCAATGAGAATGAGGATCTTAAGTTTATGGCTGCCTGGACCACGCTGCCGCTGGCACCCACCCGACCCGAGCGTATCTACGAGATCTATTGGCCGATTTTTGAGTCGCGCAACGCAAGTTTGGAGCTGCGTGTGGCGGCTGTGACCCTCCTGCTGATCTCCAATCCCACTGCAGCACGACTGATCAGCATCCATCGCATCATTCAGAGCGAAACGGATCCGCATATGATCAACTATTACCGCACGACGGTCACCAGCATATCGGAGACCACGTATCCCTGTTACCAGCATCTGCAAGTGATCCCCTCGCGCCTAGCACTCAGTACAAACCAATTTACTTCCTTTGTCTACTCCTCAGACGCCGCCTGCTCTCCTACATGCATCGCCATCTGCCCCAGAAGCCAGAGCCACGTTATTGGGTGACCGGTAACTACATCTTCGACTACCGCGACTCCAAGTTCGGCATCGGGGCCATGCTGCAAGTCTTTTTAGTGGGCGATCCCAAGTCGGATATGCCTGTGGTCGCCTTCTTCAAGTTCGATACGGAAGCCCTAGGGAAATTCACGGGACAACTGGCGGTGAGTCTCCCCCGTGCCTCAGCTTCTTCTGTACTAAATTCTATTCCACATCCTCCCTTAGTTGTACATCAAGGCGAGAGGGCTGCCGGATGCCGTACTGAACGCGATGCAGTCGAGGAACAGCAGCGATCCGTTCACTTACAAGAGCATCAAGACTCTGCTGAGTATGCTGCAGGCACCCGCCATCAATTCGAAGAATCTGCATCTAGAGTTTATCCTGCAAATGGAGGGCAAGACAGTGCTGTCGTACTTCCTCAATCAGCGCATGTTCACACAGTTGACATACGAGAACCGTAAGTGGCAGAACGTCTCCACTTGATTCCTAATTTGTACAACACTTTCCCTTAGTTCTGGAGCGCCTGCAGCAGATCATTCGCACTGACAGTCACATCAACATGCAGACCGTCCGCTGGCCCTTCATGAATCGCTATTCAGTGCCCACTGTGCTGGGTACCGCATCGGATGTGCTGCTGCAGACAACGGTGCTCACCTCGCTGCGTGGCAACATCACGGAGCAACGCACACCGCCCATATCCAAGCATACACTGGAGATCGATGCAAGGTACTCCTCGTATGCCTCTGTTAGGAGTCGCAGCTACAATCCGTTCTTGAATCTCGATCACGAGATAAACCGAGAACAGGGCTTCCTCATATACATTCCGTTCAGCAATGAGCTCAACCTCAATACCAGTGGCAGCCCGTGCACTCGGTATTCGTTCTCGCGGCCACAGAACCTCACCAGCGGTCTGTCCTTCAAATCACGGGCTGTGACCAAGACGCGGGGTCTCATTACAAAGACTGCAACGGCTCCCTTTGAGGAGATTATGCTTCCCGAAAGGAGCAATGATGTGGTATGGACATGACACACTCTTTGCAATGGTGTAGAGAAAGAATAAAGATCACATCTTGTCTTTCAGTTTCAGTTCCTCACGTATACCATTCCGGACCTGGGCGTCCAGCTGGCCATCAATACGAATCTCAACGAACTGATCAAGTATCGTGGGATGCTACTCAAATCAGAGTTTATAGAGAAGTAATTACTATAGTATAGTATAGTATTAGAATACATCTCTCACTCATTCTCTTCATTAGCCTTTATCATTACAACAATCTTTGGTAGAACTAACCTAACTCTATCGATATATCCTTCTTTCCAGTGGCTTCTCACGGAACATGATTGTCAGCCTGCTGATGTATGTCTTTGGCTTCACACAATTGAGTTCCATTCATCTGGGTCACGATCGCAACTTTACGCTCTTGATGTACAATGAAAATGCCACCAAAGTAGGAACCCATTCTACCCAAAACTAAACCTCATTCATGATTCATGATGAATCGAAACCCAATCCTCTTTTTAGCTGGAAGGCAGCTTCTGTGCGGACGATGTTTTGAAGACGGCTGACTTAAAGGGCCGACAGATTGCCCTGACGCTCCAGCACACGGACGAGACCCAGAATGTGGATGCACTGCATAGCTGGAACATTACGCTGGATGTGCAGACCTCCACGAAATCCAGTTGGTTCAAGGTGATTGGTCAAATACAGCGCAACTCCAAAGATGATGAGGAGGACTGGAAGGTGAGTGCGTACCGGACTATTATAATTATTTATTTAACCAAATATGATGCATTGCTGGACATGTGTCGTTGTCGTTGTGTATTTTTGTGGTTTCGTACTTCGTGTCGGGATCAGCTTTCTTTTCGGGTATGTGGAAAACATAGTTAACCCTCCTGTCCGGCTGTCTCGAGTTCCTCCTCGGCATTGATCAGGGCCACAATGCCATCCTGCAGAGACTTGACCAGCTCGAATTCGGTGAAACCGAGACGACGTCTGTTCGATATATCCATGACGCCATCCTCGATGGCAGTGTGCTCGCCGCCGGTGCCGCGTATCTGCAGCTGCAGCTCATCGGCCAAAGCCACCAAACGTTCATTATCCTTGCTCAGCAAGGGCAGACGAATGTGCACCGAGGCACGCAAGGTGGTTCCCAGATTGGTGGGGCAGGCACTGAGGAAGCCATAGCGAGGACTGCGCGCAAAGGTCAGGGTCTTTTCGAGTTCCTGCAGGCCATTGACCAGACGATTGTACACATCGCCCAAGTCGCCGCACGGAGCCATGGAAATGATGCGCAAGTGATCCTCCTCGTTGACCCAGATCAGGAAAGTAGCGGCCGGATTATGGTAGACACCACGGCCCGTTGGCCAGAAGCGATAACAACCTGCGGTGGTCAGATAGGCGTCACCGCGATGGAACATTATGTGCCGCTTCACCATCTCCTGCTGGGTCTCGGCATCGATGTCGCTCAATGTCAGATAGGAGCCGATGTGCTCCCCATCCATGGTCTCAGTGGCGGCACGCACCCTCTCCTCCACCTCGATGAACTGCTTCTCCGTTAGCTTGGGGAAGAACGGGAAGCCCTCAATGTTGCGAGCGATGCGTATGCGCGCCGAGATGATGTATTTGCGCTCCGGATCCAGGTTCTCGATTTCATCCACATTGCCCCAGTCGCTGTCCTTTTGCAGCGCATCCGAATCGTTGTCCTGCTGGGCATGGTAGTCCTTGATAATCGGATCAAAGATCTTGGCAAACACATCGTAGCTGTCTGGATCGGCGGCATAGATGCCCACCGACGAGTCGTGATGCTCAAAGCCCGAGACGGCGCAATCGTACAGATAGGCATCCACTGGCGGCGATGTGGTCACCAGCATGTACTCCTCCAACAGCTCCGGTGTAAGGTACTTGCGGAGCAGCGAATTAACATTCTCCTCATCGTCCATGAGGGATTTGTAGCCAGCCAGGGTGAGCTCCTGGTACTCCTCCGGTGACTTTTTGCTGCAAATGTGCTAGTGGAATCAATGTCATATTCAGTACACGCTTAAAGCAGACTTACATTTGACCACGCAGGCGCTCTAGCTCCTGCTCCAAACGCGAGATGCTAGTCTTTGCCTCCTCCAAATCATTTTTCATTAGATCGTACTGGGCATCGTCCGGGCAGCTCTCGCACATGAACTTGCGCACAAAGCGTATGGCATCTTCTGGCTTGTTCTGTTCCTCGTACAACTTGATGAGGGCCTTGCTGAGGGCATCAATGACGCCGGCTCTCTCCAGATACTTGCGATATTGTACGCGTTTCGATTCAATCTGTTAATGGAAAGCATTACAGTACCGTTTCGGTTTGCCATTCTATCTAGTCCGTAGAGAACTGTGCGCTTACCGAAGTCATGATTGCAATTTATTTTACAGAGAGAAAACCTAAATTTATATTATTAAAACACAACGCAAAACGAAATTCTTAAAAAAAATGTACGGAGTTCAAATGGAATTTTACTAAATTTTTCAATTGGGGAGAAATGCGTCCGAACTGTAGCGTAGCTATCTGCCTTCTGTCTAGCTCTACGAAAAAACCCCTGTATTGATCAAACGTCGCGCAAAGTCCAGGACCTACTATGTTCGGGGTTCGGTTGGGCCCGACTCCGTTTCCCGTGCTCCAAACGTCAGTCAAATGTGGGCCAACAATTGTGGCAGGCAGCCACTCAAGAGGAAAGCATTGTTTTACTCATACAGGTATAATAAGGTGGCAGGCACGAACGTAGGAGACAGGTACCCGCAGATAGACAGACAGACAGACAACCAGGATGTGTGTATGAGTGTAGGTTGGACCCCACTAATCGCTGCCGCAGTTGTTGTGGGTTGTCGTTGCCTGTCTACCAGTTTGTCATGGTAATGTGTGGCCCACTACCCCACACACACGACCTGGCCTGCTGTCTGTCTGTGCCCTTATGATGATGACCACATACAGGGTGTCAGCACTTGACTCGCTTTAGTGACAGCCACTTGGGTCGTTTCTTGACTTACATTTAAACGGGATTTTCCTTGGATTCTTCCTCCCGAAGGCCTGCACCAAGTTGACCTATGAACCGCTGGTCTTCACCAAACGACCTCACACACTCAACGGCAATGTGGTGTTTGGCCTGGCCACCGAGGAGGGCGCTTGCCCCGAACACGGATCCACAGTGCAGTTTGCAGCACGTGCTGGTGTAAGTACATAATTTTCATTGATGGAGCTATGAATATTAAACCCATTCTTTCCGCTTACAGCCCTCGGAGCATGCCAGGGCCTTTCTGCGTTCGGACAAGATCTCGCTAACGGACACCGACTTCTGTCCCAAGGAGGTGCTCAAGTTCTCGCCCATACCCACATCCAAGTATTGCAAGCGCAGCAATTTCGAGAACTTTACCTCGATAACGCAGTACGATATGGATCTGAAATTTAATAATGTAAGTGACAGAGAATGTACTATCCTATCTAAGAATCTGCATATCTATATCAATCGCTATCACTCACCGATAGATGCCTGCGTGGTTTGAGCTGTGGTCCAATCGCTTGGATCACCTTGTGTCGGCATTGTCTGCGCACAAGGTGGACAGCCTGCACATGAGCCAGGAGATTAATATCACAATGCACACGCCCAACGACTACTTCTGGCTGACGGTGGAGGTGAACGGCGTCAATTGGCGCATCTACCACATTCCCTTCCTCTACAAGCTGGACTCCAAATTCGATGCTTCGCACGAGTTGACCTATGACTCTGGACTAAAACGCTCCTGTTCGGTGATCAATGGGATGATCAACACCTTTGACGATTATCTGATCAATCTGGGGGAGATTATCACGCAGCCGGAGTGTCTGACGCTGCTGGTGGCCGACTGTTCACCGCTGCCCAAGATGGCTGTGTTCCTTACGCCTTCACCGACCCATGGGCTGGCCAGCAACTACGGCCTGCGCATCCACATTGGCCGGAACTACTTCAATCTACACTCGCGGACAGACAACAGCAGTCAGCCGAATGACGAGCCCGTGTTCATTTATATCAACCAGGACCAGACGCCGCACGACGTACGCCAGCAGCCCTACCAATGGCCCATCGAGGACAGTGACTACGATTTTCGGTTAGTTTTTTAACCTTATTTACTTGAATCCAATCGTAAAATCCTCCTCTTGCAGTGTGGAACTCAACGAACAAAACATTCTGATCGTCGAGTGCTCGCAAATAAGTGCCACCATCCAGTTCGATCTGTTCAACATCTTCAACTTTGAGATTTACGGCGTCTACAAGCACCAGATGTGTGGTTTGTGCAGCAAGCCACTGAATCGTATGCGGAACTATACACTCTGCGAGCCTGAGATGATCAGCAGTAGTACTCCTCTCCCAGCGCCACTGCATGAAAATTCCACCGAAAAAGTCGTAGTTGTATAAGCAAGACGTATGTGTGTGTCTCTAAACTAAAATAAATCCAAAAGAGGAGCCCTATTGGAGGAGCTTTTGAATCCTATTTAACTTCAATTTAATGCATTTTTGTGATCAAATTTTAATTGTGTAGGAACTGAATATAATATTCTTTGAACATTGATAAATTCTACTCAATTCGATAATCGGGGATCGACTATTACAAAAATCAAAGCTTGGCACCAAGCGAATCGTTATCTCATGAATCAAATGAATTTGTCGATTTTTCTTATCGGAATTTAATTAATTGAAGAAAATAATAATAGTAATCCATAGGATTAGAGAATACCATATTCATTTATGGAAATACTGAAAAAAATAAGAAAATTAGCTTCTGCTGTCTATAATGTTGTAATAGTATGGAGTCACATAATAAGCTCGCGTCAAATGGTAGATTAATATGCAATTTTTTAGCCCTAATCAATAGGGTAGCCGACCTCCTTCTCACGATCGAGATGCAGCTGGGTGAGCAGATGCAAACGAAGCTCTGCCACCGATTCCAAATACTGTTTGCACAGACTGCAGGTCATGGGATCGAAAGAGCCTTCACTGTAATCACAAAAGATCATGTTAGATTCCGGTAGAGCACAACCGGCGATAGAGCCACTTACAAGTTACGATAATCGTACATCTCTTTGCAGTTCGCAATCAAATCCAAAACAGTGTCCATCTTCTCTTCGTGCAGCTCGGGAATGGTGTGCATGGGGAATATGGAACGTCTTCCATACGGCTGCGGGTCCGGCTCTCCGGACTCCTCCATATCTTGCCATACGTAGTCGCTGCTATTCGGATTGCACTCAATAAAGTTTCGATTCTTGCTCAAAAGTCTGTAAAAGATGAAAAACACAATGGATACAATTTGCTGAAAGCACACATAATTGGGAAGCATACCGATTGAGTGCGGGATAAATTGTATTATGTATTAGAACGCGGTCGGCATGACCAGCTGTTGGATGCAGTTCACCCTCAAGGTTGAAGAATGCGCTATCAATCATGTAGCGGATTTGATTGATCTGAATGATAGGTTTGACCATTAATATCGGATATTGGGCTCCTCAGTTTCAAATATAATCTTACCAGAAGAACATCATGCTCGTCTATGTTCACATCCAAGTTTATTACCAAATCATGATCTTCATAGTAAGATTGCATTGTTTGTGGATGGTACCCAATTCCGGCCAATATCGACACATATCGGCTGTTTGCCGTGTTGGCTTTAAGCTGTGCACGTGGGCAGAATATCAGGGTCATAATTGCTGCGAAACCCGGTATGTTGGGCATTATGCTGGTGCTACGTAGAGTTAAAACATCATTGTGTCGGCCAGCCGCGCTTATACTAGCGGCCACAACCATCTTGGCGTGTTGATCCTGCGGTTCAGTATCCAGGAGCACGAAATTCACCGAGCAAGGATCGATTCTCACCGTTTTGGACATGCCCGAACGCATGGTGGAGAATACTCTCGATTCTAGAGTGCTGAAGGGTCCCTTGAGTGTAATCAACGAGTTGCATTCCTCTGGCGGTGGCGGAGATAAGTCCATATCCTGTGGCAGCTGCTTGGACCGCAGATACTCTTCATTTACTTGCTGCCGCTCTTGCTGTGATACATAGCCTCGGCATTCCTGTTTGCGCATACGAAAATCATGATCCACGCGGGACATGTAATCCTCATCGGTGCGACGGGCCAATTTCTCCTTAACCAACAGTTCATTGAGGTTTCCTTCCCGCAAGTGTATCATCACTGCCGCCACGTTCTGTACCAGAGAGTAAATCTCTAGTTGGACGCGACCGCCCTTGGCCAGGGCATGTAGCATATCGTCGGCCTTCTGCGGCCAGGCGTTATATGTGCTGACCATCGACGCCGGCTGCACCAGGGCCAACCGACACTCAAACAAACGCGGCGGCAAATCGCGATAGTGCCGCAACAAATCCTGGGACATCAGACGCAGCTGGGCCATCGGCAGCCTTTCAATATCTCCATAGTCAACGAAACGAACGTAAAACCTCACATTCCGACTGTCCTGCGTATCCACACGAACCACAGTTGCACGCTGGTACTTCCCTTGGCGTTTGGCCAGCAACATTAGCCCCTTGGTTATGGCCCCCGCATTTCTCACACAATTTTGCAACTGCTGTGGGTTATTGAAATGCTCCGACATGTTGGCAATGCAGTTCTCAAATGATTCTGGTTGAAAAAAGAACTTTCCACAGCTCACAATCTGCAGAAAATAAATAAAATAAGAGCAATACAGTATCCTCTAGGAACAACCCACTCACATTTGTAATCCTTCCGATTATAATCTTGTCGAAGAGAGACGGCAGGGCCAGAAGCTCCACGGCCACTGGCTTGGAAGGGGGAATCCAACGACCCTCGACGATCTTCCCTATCTTTTTGTCCTTCACATACTTTAGGGCATTCATTGGTCTAAAAATGGCGGAAGAATCAGATACGATAAAACCGAATGAATTTTCCGCAACTCACTCCATGACTCGCAGTGAATGCTGATTGCAATATGTTCGCAAGCGTAAGGCCTTGTAAACCTCCGCTTTGATGCGCCCAGGGACATGAACATATGTGGTGCCCTCGGGCTTGTAGATATCATTCTTGAAGGTAACAAAAATCTTCTCCGAGCCCTGTCCAAAGGTCACATCCATGTTTTCGGGCGGTATCTGTGCCTCGGGGAACAGCTGCTTGACTTTGCGCGTGTACAGCTCTCCCATGGTACGGTCGGTGAAGCTGGTGAAGTATACGGTGCGGCAGGGATCCAATCCAGAGATCACCGAGAACATATTACGATCGTCGCCTGACGTTGACTTTGATTGCACAAAGTAGTTGGGATAGAAAGACCCAGCAATAATGACCTTGAGCATTATAGCTTTCTCGCGATCATCGGAGATCCGGTGGGTGGGGAAGTTTAACGGCAGCAAGGAAAGTTTTTCGCAGCGCAAGCGTAGGTCCTGCACTAACAAATGCATCTCGCTCAACGCTCGCAACGAGAGATGGAAGCGCTTGGCCCATTGTATAGATGCATCCTTTTGTAGTCCATTCTCGCACATGTTCAAGTAGGTCTAAAAGTACCATAAATAAATACAGCATACAGAAAATATTTGAGTGTTTAGTAGGAGTACGAGCCTTACCAAGTAGACGCGCCAAATGCCCACCAAATCGGAACCAGAGCCATCGGCAAAAACATAATGCATCCAATAGTTGTCAGCTCCTAATCGCGCACTATCTATATAAATGCCACGCACCGTTAAACCAGCGGCTATAATGATCGCTTCGTCCACAAGATTGAATACATAACCCAATATTATGAGTCGACTCAGGTGCGTGTCTAGCGGCAGCTTAGACATAATAGTACCCCAATAGGTAATGTCACCATCCCTGGGGTCGTAAGTGCCATCCATAGTGGGGAAGAGAGCGCCCACTTCCTTGAGCATCAGTATGGTGTTGCAGATATCCGAGAGATTCGGCGGTGACAGTGCCAAGGCCAGCATCTCAACCGGGGTGCCCATTTTCAGCTCTTTGGCCTTGAGCACACAATTCTGCAATGGTGAGCGAAGCATCTCCGGCACGCTATACTCCGATAGCTCTCGTTGATAGAATGATTTGGTGACCATGCGATAAACACGACCGTTTCGAAGACGACCAACGCGTCCGGCGCGCTGGCGACAGTTGGTCTTTGAGGCCCACGCAAGCCGCAGGCTGCTAAAATTTGTGGACGTATCGGTGACCAGTACTTTCTCTAAACAAAAATCTATGATATATGATACATCCGGAACGGTAATGGAACTTTCGGCAACATTGGTGGCCATTATGATCTTGCGATAACCGGGAGGTGATGGTTGAAAGATTTCCCGTTGATCCTCGGACGTCATCAGGGAATGGCAGCGCACCATATTGAACTTCATGATGGGACTGAAAGATGAATCAATGGATATAGTATGAGTGCTATTCAAAATCGTTTTCGTACTCATGATTCGCCATGTCCTTGAGCATATCTGACATGTTGTTTATTTCTCCAACGCCGGGCAGGAAGATGAGAATGGAACCCTCACGCAAGGACTGATTGTAACTCTTCCCGGTGCCTCTTTCGTTGCGCTCCATGTTGTCAATGACCAAAATGGTTTTAATGGCTGATCTGTAGCCCTCCTGCGTAATTCCTGGACTGTTTATATCCTCCTGATGGCCCTCCCAGTTAATGCTTTGCAATTGGTCGCGATAGTACTTCTCCACAGTAAAGTTGCGTCCATAGCTGGCGGCGATCACAGGCGGTGCACTGCTCTCATTGGCAAAGTAATCGGACAGTTCGCGTGGATTAATGGTCGCCGACATCAGGATGACCTTCACGTGACGCGAGTTTGTGGCCAGAAGGCGGCGTATCACAATCAGCAGGAAGTCCATTTCTTGGCCGCGCTCGTGCACCTCGTCCAGCACAATGTGTGTATAGTGGGTGAGTGTCTTGTTGTTGACGAGAATGTTCAGAAGCACTCCCGTAGTACAATATAGAAGTCGTGTGTCCGCGAAACGTTCCAGCTGCCGGTGGAGACCCACCTGATAGCCGCAAACGGTGCCCGGCTGCCATTGACGCTCTTGGCACACACGGTTCGCTATGGAAATGGCAGCAATGCGGCGAGGCTGGGTAACAACGATATTGCAATATTGTTTGCTTTTGAAACCCTCATCCAAAATATATTGCGGTACCTGGGCGGGAGAATTACAGTATGGTGTTGAGTAACGGTCAAATTTGAATAATAGGAAAATAAATCAACCAGAACCAGAACTAGTTCCATCGATATCAGATATCGATGATAGAAAATTGTTTACATTTTTTATTGTGGAATGCGCGCAATAAAGCAAGAGATTTTGGTCTTCGATGGAGGTTAATGTGTACGACGACTGCTGGCTTCTGGTGCAACGTTTCAACCAAGCAGCCAATGACGAGCAGAACGGCGAGTTTGAGGTTTTCTGCCGTTGCTGGCAGGAGCTGCAACTGCAGCATCTCTTCTCCGCCCAGACGAACCATATCGAAATAATTGCCACCACATTGGCCGCCCTGCACGTGGGCAAGCGTGTAGCCTGCGGCCGCCGCACCAATGGGCAACTATATCCCGCTGCCTCCCGCTTCCAGCGCATTGCAGGATTCTATCTGCTGTACGTGGTCTACAACAAGCAGCCGACACAGAATTTTGCCAAGATCGAGGTGTCACCATCCACCTGGCAGAGCCTGTGCGACTATGCGTTGCAGTTGCGTCGTGACAGTCCCGAACAAAAGGACACTGAGCAGGTTAGCTACCTCTTCTGGCGTTTGGTGCAACAGCAAGCTTTCCGCTTCACGGCCGTGGACTATGGCCAGGGCCTAGATGGCTTGGTCAACTATGACAACGTGGAGAGTGCTGCGGGAATCAGCAGGCAGAAGAAGAGCGAACTGATTTTAAAGCAACACAGACCCAATAAGGTCAGCCTGATTTATGAGCTGGAGGACCTTAGGAATCTGGACCTGGCCAGCGACCCGTTCTGTAAGTTGGAGACGGCCTATAACAGGCAGAAAGAGCAGCTAGTCGGCCAAGAACAGACACTGCCGCCTACTCGGGTCTTTAGTCAGCTTCGGGAGATCTTCAGTGACATACAAAACATTATTGGAGGACAGAACCAGAATCAGCACGATGATGAGCAGCCTACAACATCTACGAACCACCAACTGGAGCTACGTGAGCGGGTGCGCTACAAAGCCATGTACGGAAAAGAGAAGGACGACTTGCCAAAGGCTGAGCTCGATAAAGAGGAGGAGCAGGAAGCGCAAGATCCGTACCAACGACGCACATCATCGGCCACTATTTTTTTGCCGCAACTGCCAAAAGATGTGGAGCGAGAGTACGAAATGGACGATTACACCGAGGATGAGGATGAGGAAGGGGAAGCCTGTGAAGAGTTTATGGATATGCCGAAAAGCCAAGCTACGAGTTACATATGTAAATAAATTCAGAATCTCAAAAAAAAAAATGCAAAACGAACTAGCACGGATTCTACGCTCTACTGATACAAAACGAACTAGTTCAATTTTTGAACTATATTTTTTTTTATTCACCTGCGTCGTTTTGCCGCAACCCGTCTCACCCTTTACGATCACAACGGGATTCTCGTTAATGGCGTTGATGATCTCCTCGCGCTTTGCGTAGATCGGAAGACTTTTGTCTCGATTCAGGTTGAAATAGTACTTTTCGTAAAACTCGGCATCGGTACGAATTTCAGGAGACGCTTCGTATTCCTCATCGCTGTCCATGTCGTCGAGGCTTTTATTGCGCCTTGACGCCATTTCATCAGAACTGAATATCTGTAAACAAATAAACAACGCAAGCAAAAAGTTTATAAAAGTGCAATTGTAGCACTTTTTAGGTGCTGGCCCTCCTCTTACCCCATTCATGCGCTTCTTCTCTTTTTCGACAAAGCTCTTCACATAGTCTTTGCCCACAATTTCGCGTTTGATCGGCTTCTCTAATTCGTCAGATTCCGTCACAAAAGCGTGCACATTGCTCGATACATGTCCGCGCGGTGCTTGTTTTCGTACGAATTCCTTCGAAAAGTCGAAGAAATCCATTAGTTCTTGGTCCATTTTTAACGAAATTTTTTTTTCGGAATTTTTCTGCGTTCTACGATTCAAACTGTAAATGTAAACCAGTGTGACCGCGGATTTAGCACGGATCAATTACACGGTCTGATTCCCAGAAATATACGTCGAATATACTGACGAATTATCCAAGTTCTATCAATGTTGTACAAAATTGGCTAGTTTTTGACTAAAACAAGGTTTGAACAAAAAAGTTCAACAAAAAAACAGTCGCACTGTTGTCACGTCAATGTTGCTTGTCAACCGAAGTATGGTATAATGGTATATTTAAGAAGAAAGGGTATATAAACATCTTTTGAATTTCGCTCACAAATCTTTCTTACGTATATCATTTATTCCAATAGATTGCATTTAAATCTTTTTCGCACATTCACTTTCAACCAATTTCTATTTGGCGCGCACCACTTATATACAGACGATAGTTTCGATAATCGAACTTGAATCGGGTAATTAAAGGTAGTTAATCTTATACAAAATTTATTCATCAATAGGATGATAGGATGGGTAAAGCTGAGAGATCTAAACAGCTAGTAATATTCGACGAAATATATAACTTGAATTCGTCAGTATATTTACGGTATATTTTTAAAATGAGACGGCATATTTCTGAGGGTCGGACGGTATATTTCAACGATAAATCCGCGGTCACACTGCTTATCGGGGAAAAATCAAACAAAATCTAAAAATTTTACCTGAACTGTGCCGCCGCAGACATGTCGCTTACTATGCGAATTTTCACAGCATCCCGCAATGGTTAGTGGCTGGGCAGTAGCTTGCCTTGCACTCAAAGCGCGACATGCGAAATACCCGACTATTCCATGGGCATCGCATTGAGTGAGGTTATGTAAGCTTATGTCATAGCAAAACAAAGGACTAAAGTGGCCAATTATTGTTCCGCGGCGGCTCACACAAGTGCACTGTATTAACGATAGGTCTCCCCCGCAGGTCAGCGCATGTTTCGCACCAATGGCGCCTGCTTGCTGGCCGCCAAGCGGACCGAACCCAAAGACATTGTTGAGGTCCCAAAGGGCTATGTGTATGTGAATAACAAGGAACTGAGCATGGAGATGGAGGACATCACCGACCGGGCGGCGACATCAATGTTCTTTGGCGAGCTCTTCCGCGGCTTTGGCGTCACACTGGCCCACATCTTCAAGGAGCCGGCCACCATCAACTATCCATTTGAGAAGGGACCTTTAAGTCCCCGCTTCCGGGGCGAGCACGCCCTGCGTCGCTATCCCAGCGGCGAGGAGCGTTGTATCGCCTGCAAGCTCTGCGAGGCCATCTGCCCCGCCCAGGCCATCACCATTGAGGCGGAGGAGCGTGCCGATGGCAGCAGACGTACGACGCGCTACGATATCGACATGACCAAGTGCATCTACTGTGGCTTCTGTCAGGTAAGGAATGGGAGTCGAAATTTTTACATCATTTCAAGTCGATTCATTGACTTTTTGCTCGCAGGAGGCCTGCCCTGTGGATGCCATTGTCGAGGGACCCAATTTCGAATTCTCCACAGAGACGCACGAGGAGTTGCTGTACAACAAGGAAAAGCTGCTCTGCAACGGCGACAAATGGGAGTCTGAGATTGCGTCCAATCTGCAAGCGGATCATCTCTATCGTTAATGTCGGTTGTACATATACTAGAATCCTTTGTTTAGAACGATTTTCCAATTAAATATCGTTGCCGTGGCTGCGTCTCAATAGACGACCTTTTGTTATTGTTACAGTTAATACTGCATAAAGGAGCGGGCGAAACGATATTAAATGATTTATGTATTAAATTTCTTTATAGAACGAAATACTACCAGTGTTTCAATGCAATTCGATATTGGAATGGAACGGGAACGGCTCTACTGTCCCGGGCCAGCCAGGCTCTTCTCCATGAACTTCTTCTTCGCAAAGCACGTCCACCACTTGTTTGGCTTGCCATCCTCGGTGTTAAAGACTCTCTCCACCACACGATTGCCGGTCTCGTGGCGCAGCTGCAACAGATACTGACGCATCAGGTCAGAATCCTGGGCCGTTTGGGGCTTCGCATAGACGGCGTTCAAGGGGAAGCCAGCGTCGCCGGGTATGTCGAACTTGGAAATGGCCAGGCTGTACATCTCCTGCTGTCCCTGACCCTTGCTGGTGCATCGATTAAGCCGCTTCAGGCATTCCGTTATGTACAGTGTCACGTAGATGAGAACGCGGTCCACCTCCGACTGGAATTGCGAGAGTATAGTCATATATGTATGTATGTACTGTAGATATTGGATTCTTACTTTGATTTCGTATGTGCGAAAGAATACATTGGCTTTGAAAAAGTATAGTGACTCATCAATGATGTCGTTCTCCACATTGGCACTGGGCGCTGGTCCGCGCACCTGGGTACGGAGGGGCAGGATGGCCATGTTGCCCACTTGTTGGGGGAACTCCTTGATCTGGGAGTGGTAGGCCTAACAAACAAAAACTCATTAAATGTATGACAATAATATTTTCGTACACCCTTGCTTTGCAGGGGGTCTTTAGCAAATCGAATCAAAGAAAAACACACATGTCCTCCAACAGGAACCCACTCACCGGCATGGTATTTATGTGAAAACAAAATAGCAGGCTATATATATAAATTAATAACAATTATATTGTTCTTTTTGGCAAAAACAACAATTTCTCGGACTGCTTTGCACTGTTTTTCCCCAGCCCTGGTAAATCACCTATCGCACTTCTGATAGTATCGATATCAATTCTTGACACGTACACGTCGTTTTTGGTAATTACGTAGAAATGTAGCAGGTGTGTAGTTAGCTCTTTTTCGTGGAAAAATAAGACAGCACATTTCGGTATATCGGTATATAATGGTATATTTTGTCGATTTCATCAACCCATTAAATTAAATTTCAACGGTATATAAAAATCCAATAAAAGCAAGTGTTTAAAATAATCCAATCAATTATAAAATAGATTCATTAATCGGATAAAACGAGGAATGTTTAAAACAGAACTTGAATTTGTCAGTATATTTACGGTATCATTTTAAAATAATACGGTATATTTCGGTATATTTCTGAGGGTCGGTCACACTGAACGGCAGTTTTGTGAGCCGGCGCGACCTAGAGCTGTCAAACCATCGAAAGCGGCGCCACTTGATAGTTTTAAATGGAATGATTTGAAACATCGATACTATCGATGGCACATAAAAGTTTTTCAAAGGCTCAGAACTCAAAATTTTAAGGAAATATTTCATCGAGTACTTACTTATTTTATGAGACTGTTTGAATTTTGTGAAAAATATTTGAGTCGTGTTGAAAATTGGGACAATGAATGCAATGAAGTTTGAAATTCAACAGGTGCAGTACAAGCGCTTATACCAGGAGACGCAGTTAAAGTCAGAGTCATCAAAGCTACTCGTGCTACCGGCAGTAAACTTGGGCGAAACTTTGAGGCGAATTCCAGGCGCACACGAATATTTCAATATTTCTGACGAACTTGAACGCCATGGTGATCCAGAGAACAATGGTGGAGAAGGAGAGGACGGGGACGACCAGGCTGACGAAGAAAACGAAGAAGAAGAAGTTCCGAATGAAGAAGATGGCGACGAGAATAACGACGAAACAGAAGAAGAAGACGATGACGAAGATGACGAGGACGAAAATGAGGAGGAAAGCTATGAAGTGAGTATTAATAGCCGCCAATCATCTCCTCTTAACTTAATATATTCGTGTCACTATATCGTCTAGGAACTTCGTCGTCACTATATCGACGGGCTACGACTCAACCCCTGTCCGCTCGGCTCCAGATTGGACATGCTTGCGCAACTACAACCACTCATTGGTTCACGTTTACCGATCGTAGTGACTCAGCGTACACATCCAACATTTGATATTGGGCATTTTGAGAGGTATTATGTGAATGGGCACTGGGGTAGGGATAGGAATGCATATCCTGCAAATCCAGCTGGAAATCAGTCTTCTAATCCAACCATAGAGGATTACGAACCTCTTATCGGGAGTAACCCAGCATATCAACTGTGGACTAGAATGCGACGAGCTGGATATTCAACCGATCAGTGGCCAGAGTCGACTAGCCAGTTTGGGAGGATGCAGATGCTACCAGCAACTCCAAATCCGCGCAGACAGTCCAATCAACACTTTCCAATGCAACAGCAGTTTTATGCACCCAGTTATCAGGCTATAAATCCACCTAGTTATCAGGCTACAAATCCACGAAGAGATAGCTATACCCAAACCGGAGCTTTTGGGAGAGAAATAGTATATCCTCCCAACAGAGAGGTGAATCGATGGAATGTTTATAGTCCACGCGTAGAGCTGACTTCAACCGAATATTCGCCGATAGTAGAGTATCAAAGATCGGATCCCAACACAGAAAACCCACCCAGAAATCGCTTTGATTATAGCGGATATAGAGTCGGAGATATTTTTTTATATTCTCCACCAATCCCTGGATCCAATCAGCCAGCATCCCATCAGCCGAATTCCGTGCGATCTTCAAACGCACTCCAATCGTATCCATCACACAGAGGGGCGTCTCCTTTGGCCAGAGTGGATCCAAACAATGCAAATCCACCCAGAAATCGCTTTGATTATAGCGGATATAGAGTCGGAGATACTTTTTTATATTCTCCCCCAATTCCTGGATCCAATCAGCCAGCATCCCATCAGCCGAATTCCGTGCGATCTTCAAACGCACTCCAATCGTATCCATCACACAGAGGGGCGTCTCCTTTGGCCAGAGTGGATCCAAACAATGCAAATCCACCCAGAAACCGCTTTGATTATAGCGGATATAGAGTCGGAGATATTTTTTTATATTCTCCACCAATCCCTGGATCCAATCAGCCAGCATCCCATCAGCCGGATTCCGTGCGATCTTCAAATGCACTCCAGTCGTATCCATCACACAGAGAAGCGTCTGCTTTCGCCATAGTGGATCCAAACAATGCAAATCCACCCAGAAATCGCTTTGATTATAGCGGATATAGAGTCGGAGATACTTTTTTATATTCTCCCCCAATCCCTGGATCCAATCAGCCAGCATCCCATCAGCCGAATTCCGTGCGATCTTCAAATGCACTCCAGTCGTATCCATCACACAGAGGGGCGTCTCCTTTGGCCAGAGTGGATCCAAACAATGCAAATCCACCCAGAAACCGCTTTGATTATGGCGGACATAGAGTCGGAGATATTTTCTTACATTCTCCCTCAATCCCTGGATCTTATCAGCCAGCACCCTTTCGGTCGGATTTCGTGCGATCTACAAATGCAGCTTGGCAGGTCTTGGAAAATGCACTCCAATCGGATCCATCATACAGAGAGGCTCGAGCTCGAACTTCATGTATATGCCACCATCGGAATTGTCCTCAATTCGGTGCTCAGTTTGAGGCTGCTAGAACCCGACGTGTATTAGCAAGCAGACAGTTTACCACGTATACCCCCTCGGGACGCCTTGTACCTCAATCCTGGTACCATGCCTTGCAACACGCTGGACTGTTGCGGACTACACCTAGAGAGCAGTCGGCAAACCAATATTCACCCATTGGACAGGATGTAGCCCGATCCGTGAATGAGCAGCAATCCAATCCAGCCAATGACCCGGCTACAAGTCCACCCAAAGAGCTGGCTAATGGCCCACCACACTTGCATGGTCCCTATGAGCCGCTGCTGGCCCATCGCCTGGCCAATGCCGTGGAATATGGCCTATTCACTGCTGAAGACGATGACGACGGTCAGACTACACTGTTGATGAACGACGTCCTAGATCAGATAGTAAGACTGCGACCCGATTTAATGGAACAACCCAACGATGATAACAACGAAACGATTAATCCCTTGGACGTGCGTGAAGCGAATATAAGAGAAGAGCAGAAGACGCTCTGGGAAGTTTGTAAGAGTCGCCGCAATGACAAGTAATTCAAAGAATAACTGCAGGAGACACAAGCTAGACGCCAAAGAAAAAACAAAATTTTAAAATTTATACAAGTCTTATATACTCGCACAAGATAGTTTCTAAAACTACTTATACCTATATGTTTCGATATTTTTAAAGACAACCCCACGTTAATTTTATCTGTATTATTCAAATTTCGAAAATCTGTCAGTAACTTTGTTTGTCGCGAGAAAAATGGCGAAGAATAATAAAAATAAAAATATAATAAATAATATAAATAAATAAAATAAAAGTCGAGATCGATTCCAAAGCTGACGAAGGTACCACATGTGTGGTTTATATTAAATTGTATAATCATTGTATTCCCTTTTTAGATGGTGTCCAAGGATGCCGATGAAGTAAAAGTAGACGAGGCACCTGCCGCTGTGGAAAGGGGAAGCTGCTAAGCCTAAGGGGCTGACAAGGACCTAGCTCTTCTCCATTTGAAAGTGTAAATGCTCAATTGGTGGATATTTTCAGTGACAGCGAAAGATTTTGCAGCTGAAAGAAAAACGTCTCGAAGTGGGGATATATTACAAACATTATTTATATATAAATAAACAAATATTGCTTGAGCTTTTAACGATATTTCGATATTTATGATTTTACCAACGTTTTTTTGATCGGCAAGGGCCCCCCACCATGGGAGCAGCTGATTAAAATGAGATTCAAACTAAAAGTCCACATTTCTAATCTAACTGACACTTTTACAGCGCTATTTTACCGTCGATGGGTTTTCTGTTAAAAATCCTAGTAAAATACTAAGACAGGACATCACATTAATCACTGAATTCTTGGACCTCTACATCGCTGTCCACATCGGGCCCATCATCGCTCAGGTCCTCCTCTTCGTTGTCCTGCATCTCCTCGGGCACTCCCAGCTGGAGACGTTTCCGCTGCAGCAGGGCGGACCAACTGAGTCGGGTCTCGCACAGCGGACACTCGCCACCAATGGGTATGTATTGGCCGGGCTCATCGCCCAGCAGATAGCTGGCGAGGCACAGCATGTGGCAGGTCAGCCGGCAAGTGGGGTTGGTGCAGCCCAGCCGTGAACGCTCCGGCTGTTCGATGCTTTGCATGCAGAGGTGACACTCGTGGGCCCAGGCAACAGGCGGAGCAGTACCGGTAGCCTCCTCCAGTTTACGCTGCGAGGCGGAGATGGACACCTTTCCGCTGACAATCTCCATGTGGCAGGGTATCGGCAGGTCAAACGCACGCTCATAGTCCGTTTCCAGCCAGCGGATGGTGAGTGCTAGACGATGCCACGGCCCCACGCCCAGCATGCGATTGAGAATCCTAAAATTGTAATCAAAATGCGTCTCCTTGGGCTTCTTGCGCTTCAGATCGGGAAAGATCTTCAAGCGGGTGGAGAGCGTGGGCTGCTGCCAGGCCCACTCGAACTGCAGGGCCGAGATATTGTTGGGAAAGCCATGGACAATCATGACCATCTGCCAGGGCCCCTTCTTGCTGGTCTTCTTTGCTCCACCGAAATCGCAGCCACGATTATGCTGCTTGATACGTCGCTTGGGATTGACGGTGAAGCCCACATAGCATTTTGCACGATAGCGCGAGTCGAGGCTCTGGCTGCATAGCAAGTAGACGCCATAGAAATGTCCCTTGTGGGCGATGGCTTCATCCTCAGGCGGCGGCGGCATCTTCAAGTGTGGCTGTGAATGCAGTTTAAAATGGGGATTACTAAGGCGTTTACTACCAACAAAAGGAGACGACTGTAGAGGCGGGGAGACAGCTAAAGAGAGACTTTTAGAAGACTTAGACTAGTTTATTTTGTTAACTTTCAATTGCCATCGTTAATTTAATTCTAATTTGATGTTTGACGCTGTGGCCAAGCCATTGATTTGTTGCTGCTGTTGTTGTGGAATCACTGCCTGCGACTGGCCAGGCTCGCCCCGTTGCACCGAGCCCCCTAATGGCTGTGCCTCAGCGGCGGATGCCGTGCCATTGCCATTAGCTGTGGCCATCATACCCCCCGTGGCTGCCGCCTCGCCAGCTGTGGCGGCTTCGCCACCATTGCTTTGTTGCAGTTGTTGCTGTTGCTGCTGTTGTTGCTGCTGTTGCGCTGCCGCGGCATTCTCCATGAGTTTGATTCGCTTCCTGGTGTAGTGCTGCCACTGGAGTATGGCCTGATCATCGATGAACTTGCAGCACTGCGAGTTGACGATCTCGCGACGAAAGTGTTCGTATTGCAGGAGATCCAGGAAGTACAGGCACATCGGGTACATGAGGTATTTGGCATAGTCCGGCTCCTTCCAGTATTGCAAGTACTTTAGATAGTTGATGAACGATTGGTCCTTGAAGTAGCCACGTTGGGCCAGGACTACAATAAGACAACATACTATGTGTAGAAAGGCGTTCCTTTTTTGAATGATCTTATCTTTGGTTCGACACTTACAGTTGAGATAATTTGGATTGGAGAGACACTGCACAAACTCTAGTTCTATTTGCCATCTTCTTTTCTGCTGCTCTTCGGACTCTACGGTCGCTATGGAGAGAAGGATCAGAGCCATTAGACCGGTCACACAGGGGTAATTTTTGTTAAAACATTATACTTTAGAGAGCATGCCTGCGGAATCGAATCGAATGTTTTAGCTAACTAAAAGCGTGTCAGTAGATGTTAACATTTAAGTATATTTATGTTAGAATTAATGTGTGTTCTTTTGGCGTGTACTTACTCTTACCCTTTCCGTACATTTTTGCCATTTTGATTGTGGAAAGGGTCGTCTCGTTGTCGGTGTTTTTGCGTCTATTCAGTTTCAGTCTCAGTTTTGTACTTTCTGTGTGCTACTATATGGATGTGGCTGTGGCTGTATGTTCTTGTGCTTCATCGAAATTGAAACGAAAATGTACAATAAACAATAACACACAAAATATAATACACAAAAAAATGTATGATGGCAAACGAGGAGGGCAAACAAAAGAAAACAGAAATTGTGAAATAAAAGCGAACCGAACACAGGGCGGGCACTCAAAAATATCAACTCGTCTATGGGGCACTGGCGGTATGGCTGTCGCTCCTTTTGTGTTGGTGAATTCTTGTGGTAAAGCAGTTTAAATTAAGTTTTTAATTTCTACAAACCGTAAGAGTTCATTTGGATTGGAATCAGTGTGAACGCGAATCAAATTTACGGTCTGACCCTCAGAAATATACCAAAATATACCGTTCCATTTTCAAAATATACCGTAAATATACTGACGAATTAACATGTTCCATCATACATCTTCCTCGTTTTTGATATTCCGTCGAATATTACTAGCTGGATAAATTCATCAGCTCCGAACTCATAATTTTATCCGATTACTAAATCAATCTCCTACAAGAAGGTATGATCTTAAATTTTCATATATATTGCATTGCTTATAGAAAAAAGTTAAAGCACCAACGATCAACAGTGGCAAGAAATTCAGTGACTTGGCGATAAATATACGTTTTGACCCTCAGAAATATACCAAAATATATACCGACGAAAAAAGGAACGTAGCCCTCTTAAGCCCCCTATTTAAACAGTTCAACGACTTGAGGTAGATGGCGGAAAATATTACTGAGTGTAAATTCTGCTTGTAGATTCATGCAATCTTTTTTCTGCACTTAAAAAACCATATCTTTTACCTGAACTGCACTAAAATAATTTAATATTAATTTGCGGTGGGATATTAAAATACCCCCTTGGTCTACAGTAGGTTAACCGGCTTCCGTCAAGGATTGAAAACCATATTTCTCGTTTTTAATATTCCGTCGAATATTAATAGCTAGATAGAACCCTCAGCCAGGCCACATACCAATTCTTGGTATCTGCAATAAGACAATAAACTGCAAAATTTCGTTATGATAGCTTTAAAAAAGAGATGGACTAGTTGACAAACATTTCCGAAATTCTTTAATATGCTTATCATTAGGGTGTGAAGGAAATGCTGCGAAGAGAGGATATCCCACTACAAAATAGAGAGCAAATCCAAAAAAAAGAAGCAATTCCCACTAAACTCGAGCGCCATATAGAAATTGCTTGAAAGTGAATGAGCGACAAGGATTTAAATACAATGCATTGGAATAAATGATAGAAGAAGTACGATTTATAGAAGAAATGATAGAAGAAGTGCGATTTGTACCCCTTGTCCTTAAATATATTCCTTCAAAAAATAAATTTAAATTTTTTCCACCATGGATGGATAGCTGGAAACCCTGTTTTTCGCCACCCATGGCCTGCCAAATACGGTATATTTTGAAAATGACACGGTATATTTAGGTATTTTTCTGACGCTCAGTCACACTGCTTGTCTGTATACCAGCGTTTGTCATCCAAATTTTAAAACAAACTGCGAAGAAAATACGGAAATCATCAGAATAAACATATCTTATCGCATTCAAACAACTGTACGAGCAGTATTCTACAAACAAATAGTTATTTGGAAAAGTACTCACACCGATAAGGGAAGCATTTCGAACTGGAAAAAGTGCGTGCAAATTGAGACTAGGCTTTATAGGAGAAAATTGCGCCTGTGTTGGTAATTTTCACGCATCAGCGTGGGACATTACATTCTTGCGCCTCAGCAGGGGACTGAAAACGCTAAACGGAGTCGTAAATGTAAGTACAAATTGAAATAACGCTAGTATACAGAACATATATACATATGCATAAGAATAGGCGTGACCCCATTTAATGGAATGAATCAGTCTCGCCCCCTCAAAATGTCTGTTTGTTGTAGTTGTTGTAGCAACTATAAATAGAATACAGTAGAGTCTCATAAAACGCAACCCCCGACGCCCGATGATAGAAGGTGTTGCGAACATGTCGAGTGAAAATCCCATGCACGGCTGCATTTTCATACCAGCTGCAGATTTATTGATGGATTGAGAAAGTGCTCGCTCGCGTGTGCTTAGCGTTTATGGCTGTCGTCAGCTGCCTTTTGCAATGCCACCTACCTGCAACCGTATCCTTCGCCTTTCACATCGTTTTCTACCTGTTATAGTATAAAATAGATTTCCATTCCTTATTTCATTTCAGTTGCAAACCAAGTTTCAAGCTCAACGCACACGCAGTCTAACTGTAAACGGAAATCAGTGATCGATAAATAGAAATCCACCAAACCAACAAAGTTGCAGATAAATAATTTACCACAAAATAATACATACAAAAAGAACAAACTAAAAATGGTTCAGACCGGAATATCGTTAAACGAACGATTCACCCAGATGCAATCCAGACAGAAGCAGGAGCAACTGGCAGTCAATGGCCGTGGACGCCGGAGCCGCTCTCAGAGCCGCAGCCGCAGGATTGTGGACAGCAATGTGGCAAATCCAATTGCATCGGCGGCCAATTCCCGCCTGCTGCAGGAGTTCAAACGGAAGCACACCGTGCAGACGGCCCTCAAACTGAAGCGCGTACGTTTCCCCAAATCCAAAAAACAAACAGACAAGCCATGACAGATCTCAACCACAAGATATCATATAACTCTGGGATATGAGCATCAGCTTGATAAATAACTGACTTGGCCAGGAGAAGGAGACTCGGACAATGGACGACAATCATTGACAAATTGGAGCGGAACGCCTTCTGCGTTGTTCCAGGCCACATTCGACATGGGTTTTGAGTGTCTCTGTGTGTGCGATGTGTCTCTGTCGGTTAGTCCCTCCTGTTGTCCAGCCAACGCCAACGCAGACTCCCAAATCTAGACTCTCTTTCTAGAGAGACTTTCAAACTTAAACTTGAACTCAAACACGCTCGCTGTAAAACTCCCAAAAAAAAAAACAGATGCTGCGCTCCTTCAACTCCGATTGTTATCAAACAAAAAAATCCATCCACAAACCTTATGCATCCTTACAGAGAAGCTTACGGAACACTGGCGGCGGCGTACGCGGAGCACGCGTGGGCGGCATCAAATCGGTGCGCCTGGCCCCCAATGGAAAGCCCATGCGGTCGAACAATGTGACCCGGGTAGCAACGTAAGAATCCTCGACTATAACCCAATGGCCAGACACCCACTGCAATGAAACATCTCTGTACTTCTGCTTCTACATATCCGCTAACTGTGCAGGATGCGTGCCGATCTCGTCGCTAACAGCAATCTGACACGTCGTCGCAGCGGCAGCAGCACTCGTCGCTCCGCCTCGGCAGTGGGCGGCCTTCGCCAGCGACTGGGAAACCGTCGGCCCTCTGTGGGTGGCGCCTCCGAGCGTGTTGAGCGACATCAGCGTCAGCTGATTAGGCAGCAGCAGCAGCAGTATAATCTTCATCAGACCCGTGGACGCTCCCGCAGCCGTTCCCGTTCCCGCCTTCCCCAAGTGAGCGCTCGCAATGAACGTTCTCGCTCGCAGAGTCGCGGACGCAGCGCCGGCTCTCAGTTAACTCGTACACGCTCTCAGAGTCGCAATCGTGGACGCGATCGTCGCCAGCAGTCGGGTACTAGGGCTGGACAACAAACACCCCGTGTCTCGGTCAAGCAGCGTCTGGGCGTGCGTCCAGGCCAGAGCAAGGTCGGTGCGAAGAATAACCAGGCGAAGAATCCGCGCCGTGCATCGAGCAAACTACGTGGTGTGGCTGGCGGGCGGGTGGAGAAGCGTCGCAATGCCAATCCCCCACAGAAGGGGGTGTCCGCTTCCCTTGCCGGACGACGAGGACGTCCACGTGGAAGGTAAGTTCTCCTGCAACAAAATCATTAAAAATCAAATACCTATACAAACTTTTCCTTTACAGATCTGCTGCTAGGGCTGCTGCTGCTGCTGGGGGAGGTGCTGCTTCGGGCTCCAATGCAGCCTCCACACGTCGCTCGCGCTCACGCAATCGACCTGCTGCCGCTGCTGTCACTGCTGCCGCCGCTACCCCGGGAAGGGCCAACAAAACACGCAACCGCCGTGGCCGCAGCGCTGGCGCTGCTAAAGGTTCCGGTGCCAAGGGGGCCGCCGCCAACAAAAATGGTAACAGAAACAATAGCAAAAGCAATGCCAGCAAGGGCAAGACCAACAAGGGCCGCGCAGGAGGTGGAGGTGGCAAACCAGGGCCACAGCAGGAACAGGCTCGTCGGGGACGCAGTCGTACTCGTACTGGTCGTCAGGCTGCAGGTAAAAGCGTTACAAGTCATGAGCCGCACAGCTAAATGGACACCCAACTGGAACCGGAGGCTCTGCAGCAGCTGAACTTGGAATTTCTTTCTCAATAATTTTGACCCCCATTTCTGTGGAATCCCATTCTAATCTCATGTATTTTCTTGTACCCCTAGGCAAAGGCAAAGGCGGTCCACGTGAAGAGGTCAAACGCGAGGATCTGGACAAGGAGCTGGATCAGTACATGTCCACCACCAAATCGGAAATGGACTATTTGCTAAAGTAAACTCGACTCGTCGTTCGACCAAAGAAGTAGGAGGAAGGATCAAAGGATTAATGAAGAAAGTAACCAAGCAACCACCGGCTTAAACAGTTTATGTTTCTCTTAGTTTAATAAGATACCAAATAGTTTATAATTATCTCTAATCAGATGTACTAAAAAAGAGTCGCGAGAAGCACGCAGACATTTATGTTCTCTAAAGGAAAGCTAATTTTTGTAAGTTATTCATGTAAATATATGACAGCATACTGTAAGTTAATCAAACTTTGAACTATTGAAAGCTTGATCGATGTTAATGTTAAACGCATTGCCCCGAAATACAAACTTATTCATTGCTCAACTAGAAAAAAAGATTTTCAAGAGTTTTCTTTGGCAACCCTCCTCAATTTTCATTTGAAAACAAAAAAGAAAAGATAACATTCCTATTTTTTTTAGTGGTGCTAGAAATCAAGAATCGCATGTGTGCACACCCAGTTACGCCCCTAACCGTTTCCCTCATTCACATCGACTGGCAATCTCCCATCTTGTGGGACCTGAAGATAAATCTATTTATTTTCAAGTCACTTTTTTGTGTGCTTGTGTTTGTGTGGTGTGGGTTTTTATTTCCCTTCTTTTTAATCCGTTTTTTTCTTTTGTCTTCTCTTTCTTGGTCCCCACGTTTTTCCTAGGACTTGAGTGAATATTTTTAATTTCTGTGATTGATTGCAGTTTGTGGGCGGTTGGGTTTTCCAGGTAGTCAGTGGTAGCTGTGGATTGGATTTGGCATTTTAATTAAATTTTCCCATCTCCTCCGAGCTGTCTCCCACACTGTTTGTGGATCTGGGATCGAAAAGGAGGAAAAGTGCACAACTTTGTTGGTGAAAATGCATTTAGTTGATTTGTTCAACTCATTAATTGAATTTCGATCAGTTTTCCGAGTCAACAACTCCATCTTAATCAGAGCCCCAAGTCACAAACTCAATCTTAGTCAGGCACCAACAAAAACCATAAGCAGTGCCCGATTCAAACCACTAAAGAAATCGTAAGCAGAGCTTGTAAGCCATTAAGTAGCTAAACATGCTTCAACAACTGGCCAATCCGATTAGTTGTCAATGCTAATCAACCGCAACCCCCCGCCAGTGTCCGTCACTCATGCACCCATCCAAAAACTAAAGCCCCCGAAAGCCCACACCCATTCACGAATGGAACCCAACCATCCGAAAATGGAAGGCAATCCGCTAATTAACACAAAATGGTCATTTGTTTCGCCTGCTAATTGCCCTGTCCTGCCCTGTCCAGGATGTGCATATACATACACCTTCCGGGATTCTGGATGCTGGTAGCCTCCGTCATTAACCCTTTGTCGCCTGTCAGCTGTTTGGCGAGCATTTAACAATTTATAAGCAATTAGCAAATGTTGCTTTAGCAGCGCCTAATTAGACAATTCAATTTCCAGTTTCGTAGAAATTATGAGGGACCTTTTAGGGATCTTTTTATTCTAACTCTGGGGTTAATCAGGGTTCAGTCGCCCCCTTCGCCCTTTGGCAACATGTTGCAAAATGGTATTCTATTCTTTTTTCAGTGCCTCATGTTGCCAGCGTCTCCCAAAGTACTCCAAACCTATCCATCCCCCATCCAAAAACCGGGCCCCCGTTCACTTTGTTGCCATCAAAGTGAAGCCCCCAATTTGTCAGCGTTGGCAGCTGTGAATGGCTCTCGGGCTCTCCTCGCTGGCTAAAGTAAGTAAATAACCTGGCCATCAGCGGGGGCCAAACTTGGAGCTGTCGCGGACTTACTCTAGTCGGTGGCAGGGGTAGGGTGTGGTCTCTTTCTAGCCACGTCTCCAGGCAAAAACCAATTTGACTAATCCGCGCAGAGCACACGAAAAAGGTGGCAAAACCATGGATGGTCTTCGAGTCCTTCTATCCTTTACTTGTCCTTTTTCAGATTACAGGATGGGACGGCGGGAGGAAGGGAAAACCCATTTTGCGGTAGTTAATTCGTTTGCTGAATGCTCAAGCTAAAACTACACAGTTGAGTGGTCCCATAACCTTTGCTCTCCCGATTTATACATAAATTTCCACCAGAGATTTGAGGCACACATTTAAAATTGCCTCAACAGTGATTGGGTGAAGAGAAGCACGACGGGGCTTACAAGCCAAATCCCTTTATCAATAACATACATGACTGGGGAGGCCATGGTGCGGGTGTAAGAGTCTCCGGTTTTGGGCCACACGTGCAGCACTGACAGCAAACAGCAAACAATGAGTGCAAGAAAAACACAAGAATCGTGCCAAAATCAACATAAAAAAAGGCAAGTCAACCCGCTGTCCATCACGCATACGCCCTGTTGTCGATGTGTTGTTGATGTTTGGCTGCTTCCTGTGCTATTGCTACTTTTGTTTGTACTAAGTACAGGCACACACCAAAATCAGCCTTCACTTTGAAGTTTACGAGTATGTTCAAGTACAGGGTATTTGTGGGGATAGAAGGTTATGCGTATCTAATGGTTTGTATAAGTGCAGAGATCTTCAAATTTGACTAAAATCTAGTCGTAATTGTAGAGCTTTCGTATGTGGTGCTCAAGTGTATTCTAATATTTCTTTACCAGAATTTATTTCCTTAGTTTTTATTTGAGAAAATAAACCGAAGTACCTACAGCCCCAAAATGCTGCTTAGCTACTTGTACTTTTTCAGGCCAGAAATTTCTGTCTGAAAAAACAAATAGCATTTACCCCAAATGACATTTCTATTGTAATCAGTGGCGAAACGCGACTCCTCTGCCGCCTTCTCAGCCTCTCTGCCACACTTGGTTGCGGCTAATGAAGCGGCAAAGTGTTGAATGACAGTCTGTCTGTGGCACACGCACCCCAAATACATACATTACGAGTGTGCCTGAGTGAGTGTGTGGCATAATAAATAAGTTGAATGTCTTTCTTATGAAAATGTGCTCGTATGAACCAAAGATTGAGCGATCTCAGCATTTTTGCCTGTGATTTGTGTCTTGGAAAAGAAAACACACAATAAAACAGGCACAAATTTAAATAAATTGTATTAAGAAGGCGGACCAAGGACCACCGAATTGCCAACCTTAAGATGTTAATCAACGCACTTAATACGCAGAAGAGAAAAGCCAAGTGCATGCGGCAAGAGCCAAGAGCAAGAGCTCTCTTCTCTCTAAGGAGGTAAAATGCCGGCGGTGCAATCAATTTCACGGTGAACCACAGACCCTCCCTCCAGTCCCTGCTCTCTCTCTCTCTCTTTCAACTCTTGTGGCCATATCTGCTCTAAGCCATAAACAACCGTCAGTCAGTGGCAACTTAATTGTAAAAACACAACTTTGTTGTTGTCAGGCTCCTCTCTGCCACTAGCTCCTGGCCTTGGCGACTGGCTTTCGTATCGCCTTAGCGGTCTTAGCTGCCGTCTGCTGGTCCTGGCTCCTTCTACAAGACATGCAACAGAGGGAATTTGTCATGGCACTGGCAACTGCAACTTAAAGCAGTCTTCGGCACTCAGTTTCAGTTTCAGTTTCAGTTCCACATCCAGTGCCTTCTCCATCTCCGATTTCCGCTTCAGTTCACTTGACAAACCCAAAGCAAAAACAAAGAGCAGAAAATCAAAAGAAAATGATTTTTGGGTGGTGCAAAACTTTCTTCCTTTCAAAACATTCGAATTGCATTAAATTCATACCAATAATGCAATTTTCATGGCATTTATGACAGAACACAGAACCCCATCTTCTACCGCGCATGCGATTATTGGAAGCTATATCCAAAGTTTTGGCAGGGCTGTCAAGCAAACCGATGTTTCATGTATGGTTTTTATCTGTGTACTCGTGTGGGTGTAAAGAGCAAACGGGAGAGTGACAGAAGTTAGTGGGAGCTTGTGACGTAAAGCACTTAAGTCCGCCTAACACTCACATATCTTGATTAGATACGCCCCAGGCCTGTGCTGTGCTGGGCTGTGGTGGGGCACGTTGTCGGTCTCTCCGTCCCTCGGTCTGTTTCTCTCTGTCTCCCTCGGTTTTGCGGCTTTGCAAATGCAACCGACGGCATTGTCATTCCGGAACTCTAAGCTATGCTCTCTCAAAGGAATTGTATGCCGGAATTGTTGCTGAAAGTAAACACATCCTGGCGTACAATATTAAGTACATATTTGTTTGTCATTTCGTGTGGTGGTGGTGGAATCTTTGAAAAGGGCAAAGCCTTTGTTTTGATGTCCTGCAGCAAGTTTATTGGGGGATCTGGCTAATCTTTTGACTGAGAAACGAGCTGGCTGTAGCTGCTTAAAGGAATTGGAGTAGAAGTTTTCACTAATTAATACGAAAGATATGACATACAAGATGATGTCTGATGGTACTCGCTTCATAAGAGATTCTTCATCGGCTCATCCTAGATAAGAATCGTCTCTTGTCATAAACTAAAATTATAATAATTTAAGGAAACACGAAAGGAAATTTGTGTACATTTTCAGCCTATGTTTCCAAAAAACTTGTGGCATCAAGTCTAGAAAAACACCCCATAATCATCTCCATCGAACAAGTATTTCCACTCCACGACATCGCTACCATTTCAGGACTGGAAAAACTTGTGTCATTCGAAATGAGGAGAACCATTTCGTACAGAGAAATAGTATATTTCCATTTAATATATAATATATATCAAGTATTGCATTTAACATTAAACTTAGACACTATATAGACATACACAGACATACACAGGACTAAGGGAACTAGGGAAACAGCAAGGCTGCCTGGACATTGGAATAGGCATCGAGTGGGAAGTGTAGGCATACTAATCGAACTATGTACTTCTTAAACTATTTAGAGGCTTAGCATTCTAATGACTAACAAACACAGCTGCTACACAGGTAATTTCAATAGGTTTCTCAATGCTTTTTCAACTCACTTAAGTTAAAAATTAATTTTAGGTATTCCTTTCCTTTAATCATTTAAAGTTATGTTTAGTCTAGGCTTAGGCTTTAGGCTTAACGCTACAAATACAGTGTGTGTGTGTTCGATTAAAGCTAGAAAATGTTGGCATGGAAATGAAAACACAGGTACAGTCACTTCATCATAAACACACTCGCTATCTTTCTCTCTCTCTCTCTCACTCTCTATTCCTGTTGGTCTTTCCTCTATCTATGTATCTCTTGCCGTCTGTCATACAACGATATGATGAGTTTTTGTTAAAGTTAAAAGTTAAAGGTTTTTTTGTTACTCTTGCTGTAGGTACAGTTGCCGCAAAAGCCATCAGTTGTTGTCGCATTGATTGTGTTTGGAGTTTTTGGTTTTTGTTACGCATGGATCACCCTGCAGTTCTTTGCTTAATAAGCAGCTAAAAGTACAGTTGCCTCAAGTTCGAGCTAAGTTTTTGTTGTTGTAGCTTCTTCGCTTCATTATAAATTCGTATTTTTTTATGGTGAGAGAATGCTGGTGGGGTCGGTGGTTCCTTCTTAGCATTCGTCGTCGTCAATTGTATAGCTGCCCTGAAATTCACTCAGCGGCGTCGCATTCGCAGTGGATGGCGTCATGAGTGGTGCGCCCTGAAAGGAGATTGCCAACGGTAGAGCAGATGGGGCGCACAGGCTCAGGGCTCCGCGTCCTTCGGTCACAGAGCGATAGCGCAAAGGTCGACCAGAACTACAAGGGATTTCAATAAAAATAATATTAGGTTTTTTCGGTTCAACAATCTCTCTTTTTTCTACAGGGTATTCGTATGAAATGAGGGTATAGAAAAACGAACCCAAAAGAACAGACTTTTATCTTAAAAAGTAAAAGAGTTGTGGCAACTCAATATTCCTGTCCTTTTAGAGGGTATCCAAAATCAAATATTTGAATGAGTATATTCTGTATTAAATTTCATTTATTCTCTCGTTTCTTTTCAAGGGAAATGCCCCTTTAATCCTGCTGGACAATGCGCTATAATCCCTCTTCTTAATGGCTGGTCATTCATCTTGCATCGCCTCTCCTCTCTCCCTCCTCTCTTTTACCAATCAAAATACAAATACACGAAAATCAATCATACGTCACGTTGCACATCAATTCCCAGCACAATGCACTCTCCATAGCAATAAATTAGTATTCCACAATGCCAAAAACTTACCGCTCGCAATTGCATTTGAGCAGACGTATGAATGCCGCCCGAAATGTCCGATTGAAGATGGTATAGATGATGGGATTGATCGTGGAGGAGACATATCCCAGCCAGAGGCAGGTGTTGACCACATGCTCGGGTACCTGGCAACCGGGACAGGCGGCAAAAATGATGTTCAGTATGAAGAACGGAGACCAGCACAGGACAAAGGTGAAGAACACTAGACCCAGGACCTTGGTGGCCTTCTGCTCCGTGGCCACTGCATTGGCAGACAAACTATTTCGTTTGCTGCGATTGTTAAGGAACCTAACAAAAAGAGAGATATACGATTCAGTTATTGTCCTGGGGGTTTCTTTTCCGCATAATTAATTTATTGTTTCACTCACCGCAAATTGAGTGTGGGCGTGGCCACACGATTTAAAGCAAACTTAAAGGGACGCAATTTGTGGCGCTGCTGTCGTTCGTCAGGCTTCGCTGTCGGTATAGACCTCACCTGCTGCTCCAGGTGGTGATTGCCACCTCCGCGCCCGCCTCCGTCTCCGCTCTGGTTGTGGTTCTGTCCATGTCCCTGTATGGTAGATATGCTCACTATGCTGGAGCCATTTCCACCGCCTCCAGGAGTTGTGCAGCTCGTTGTCGCAGCTGCTGTGCTATTGCCTCCGCCTCCAGCTCCTGCTCCATTGCCATTTGTTGGGTAACCCAATTGTGGCTGGGAGATGCTGACACGCACAGAGGCTCGTCGATTCGGATGGCTATAAGAAAGTGGAGAGTGAGAGAACAGGTTTTCGGGGCAAAGGAAACGGAAGGGCAAAGTCGCATATTTAGATTGTTTTTTTTTCTTTTAGCGAGCGTTTGATATTAGATTTGAGTCTTTTGATTGCCTGGGACCCATCCGTTCCGACACCGAACTCAACAGTTGATCAAATTGACTTTTAATGTAATGAAGCAGCAGGAGAGCAGGGAGCAAGGACGGTAGAGCTGCAGAGGCGGAGAGCACAGGAGATGGTAGCCTTAGGAGCCAAATGTAATGACTTTCACTTTTCTCGGGGTGTGCGAACCGAACCCCTGAACCGTCATGGATCTCTTCCCCATATGTATCCTCTGCCCGAGCTTAGGATCTGGCAATTTAGCTAAATGCTTTGTTTTTGGCAGATGGGGGCGAATGGAAATGGCTTTCGGGAAACTGCACAGCGGAGTGATGTATTAAAGTGAAGTTATGGGTGTGGCGCAAAAAAAAAGTAGTAAACGAAATTTGAGGGATAGAAGTCTTTAAGAAGGATTCAAGTGAATGAAATAAAGTGAAAAGAAATAACGAAAATTAAACTGCAAAGCATTTGGTGGAACGATAGCCAGTAACGAGCGTTCAATTATCCAAAAAGTAGAAGAACAAAACTGTAAATTATTTATATTTATGCATCCTAGAATGAACAACGTAACTTAATGAGACGATAATTTCTCAACCTAATGAAACGTACAACTTTCTTTGTTTTTTGTTCCTCTTTCGAAACTAAACTTGCTGCAGGACACAGCGCAGAGTGAAACTAAAAACGATACCAGCAAACTTAGCCCTCAGTCCATTCTTTTGAACATCCTCCAATGATGAATTTATAATTTGTGCCTGCATGGGGCAACTTTGTCTCATTTTGGATGACAGAAGTCGGGACATCGGAATAAGTGATCTCAACTCTCAGCGGGGGCCAACAAATGCATAGTGCAACTTTTTGGAGGCCAGCTATAATGTGGCAGGCAGCCTTTCTGGCAACTTTGCAACTGTTGCTGCCTCAGCGAATAAAACATAAAGTTTTTCAATTTCTGCCAGCAGCAGAAACAGCAGAAGCATTTAAATAAGCACCGCCCAAGTGGCGTCAAATGTCCAACTAATATTTTGCAAGCGAAAGCGAAAAGTTTTTCCTGTAACGAAAAGTTGTCCAGGGCTCAGGTTCCACCTGCTTGCTGTTGGACTCGTGGCTCATTAGGAATTCATATATTTATGCGCCAACTTGTTCGTCACATAATGCCCACAAAAAAGCGAGGCGCATAAACGTGACATTCGTCAGTGGCGGCGGGCGACTGAAGCCCCATTCACAGCCCCGGGGCGTGCTTAAGTCGAGGACTTACTTGGGTCTTGACTTTGGCTCTACGTAATTCACCTCCTCGTCCTCGTCCTCCTCCTCCGCCTCCGTGCTTTGGTTATGCTAAAATTCTGCTGACAACCGGCAAGCAAATGTCATTTGCAAATTTTTGCTGGCATTTTCGGTTGCACTTTGCTTCCATCTTTCGGTTATTTTCCTTTTGTGGAGTTCTGGCTACATTGTCGGATGTGACATTCGTTGCTGGCGTTTCTTGTGGCTTCCCTTTTTGCATTTTATGTGCTATTTATTGTTGCAGCAACAGCAAACACCAACAATGTGGCAAGAAGGGTACCCGGAGCACAGCTGAAGTGCCAGTGCGACAAACCGTTTCGTGTTTGCGTGCTTTTTTTTGCTGTTTCCCTCGCTGCACCGCATGTCGTATGAGTGATTTATGTTCAGGACAAGGCTGGTGCAAAATATGTATACGCCATGTTGTGCGACAGCTTCTGAATGTGCATTTAATTACAAGAGATGATTGTAATTGATTGTTTGCAAGCCAGCCCTCATATGGTGGAACGGAGCGGCTACTTGTGGCAGGGAACGGACTTGGATTCCTTCTCTTTAAGCCAAAAACTTATTGCCACAAAGAAGAGTTACGGAAAGAAATGAACATAATATCACTTGAGGCTAAAACCGAAGTCAACAACAAGGAGCAAAACCCGCTTGGCACTTCCTAGAATGTATTGTAAATTATGTAAATTTCCTGATGGAAAGTAGTCGGAAAAACTTGGTCCAAATGGCGCCCTAAGCCGTTTCCCCGGAAGGTGGAGTCGTGTAAAACAAATGTAATAAATATAAAAGCTTTTGTGTGCTCAGGAGATAATAATCATGTTTTTATTCTGGTTCTTTCTGGTTGGCGGAATCTCTTGTCATTGATTAGGGAATTTCGGGTTTTTGTGTTTGGGATTTGTCATTGCCGACGGTTCTGGCCGGTAAGACCGCAATGACTTTTAATTTCATGGATGACTTCGATTTGTGGTCGAGTTGGAATAGGGACAGTGCTTGACCATAACTGGAGGACCACAGAGAATCCAATTAAAGGTTAATTGTCCTTATGCAAAGGACTCACCGCAAATCAATTCTGTGGAGTCGAATTGCCTCTCTAATTCTAGTTTTTCAAGTGGTTTCCACACTCTAATTAATGCTATGTTGTGGCATAAGCTTACCTGTCCATTAGATTGGGATTGCCGCCGTGTTTGCGCCAGAAGCTATTCGAATGGGGCCTGTTGGCTCGTATTGAAGACCCGGCTGAAATGCTGCCGGAGGCGGGTGTTGACGAATGACGCAAGATGCCGCCGCCAGTAAAACGGAAACTGTTGCGACCACTTAGGCCACCTCTGGTGGCAACTCCTCCTCCAGTTCCGCTGCTGCTCCCTCCTCCCCCATTGGCCACATTGCGAAAGCTGACAGTTCCAATGCTCCGGCTGCTTGTCGTTCTCTGTTGCATCAATGGACGTTCGCTGGCCTCCAAGCTGTTGTTGCCTCTTGTTCCACCTTCTCGATCGGAACCGGCACCGGCACCAGCACCTCCTGGATTGTTAAAATTTCGATTGCTGTCACTCATGGCCAGGAATTTGTTATTGCCGCTGCTGAAGCTGCTGTGCATCTGTAACTGTTGCTGGCTATGCTGCGGCCTTATGGTGAAGCGTCCACCCAGCCTATAAAAGAAGACACGAGACACAAAAGAGTGGTGAGAGGTGGATCGATGAAGCCTGATTGAGTTAAGGCTAATTTGCAGCGCTTGGCCAGGCTTTGATTGCCCCTCTGTCCGTCAATCAGTAAATGGTGAATGAAAATTGCAACATTTAAGGGAAGCAAAAAAAAAACGATGAAGGAAATTTGGTTCCGTAAAGTAAAAGTTCTGCTGGAGAAGGATTCCCTTCTTCATGTGGAATAATTGAAGGATATCGATTGGCTGGACCAAAAGAGAGTTTGATAATTAACATGAAAGTTGGTTTTCATTTCCTCTTTTACTTTTGAATCGGGTTCTAATTGTGTTTCAATGTCAACGTGGACATGGTATTCGTATTCGTGTAGAGGTAGAAGAAATTAAACCCACTCTTCCACTTGTTCTTACCTTCGGAACAATTCACTCTCTGGATGCTCGGCAGCAAATCGAGCCTTCTTGCGGAGCAGTGGTATGGTCAGGGCATAGGTGGTGACCATCATCAGCATGGGTATATAGAAGGCCACCAGTGAACCAAACACAAAGAAGGCCCGATTGTTGATGACACAGATATTCGGCTCCGGCATGATGTTCTTTTCATTGACCAGACCTGCACACATTGGACACAAAAGATGGTCATTATCAACTAGTAAGGGGTAGACGGGGTCTGCAATACTTACCCAAAACTGTAATCGAGCTGGATACCATCATGGCCATCAGCCAGACAATGGCTATCTTAATGCCAGCCAAACGTTTCGTAGATCGATGACGGGACCCAAGCGGATTCCGTATGCCCAGATATCGCCCAAGGCTGATGAAGCACATGTGCAGGATGCTCGATGAACAGGCCAGAACATCGCAGGTCACATAAATGTTGCACCAGGTAAAACCAAGTGGCCAATAGCCTACAAAACAAGCCAAAACATACCAAAACAGAGTTCAATTAAGGCGAAAATTGCAATGGCAATCGGAGGAAACCTTTCGCCATCAAACTGCCAGCACAAATCAAAGTTAATTAAAATGGCAAAGTTCCGAAAAACTCGTTAGAGAAACCATGAATGACAAAGTGAAATGTGGAAAATGGTATGGAATTGTTTATTGCGGTTTATGTGCATCCAAAGACCAGCCCCAATTGTGGTCGTCAGTACAACTGATAGACGGTTGTGCTGGAATATGACACTTTGATGGGCCCAGACACCACAATGAAAACCGAAGGGAAAGAGTGAGATTTATGGATGAATAGTCAGAAAGAAACTCCTTAACTTTCAATCGAATTTTTTGAGTGAAAATCTCTTTTATTAAATTGAAAAAATTCTCTGTAAAGCAAAGCTTTAATTTGTATTTACAAATATCCAAAATATGATCTATCTAACCACAATTCCTCGTCAATTAAACAACATTCTTACGCCAGCGATTCGTTTCCATTTCATTTCATTTCAGAGTCCGTTACAGACCACTCGACGGACTCATTCACCTTGACATCGATGGGGCTGGAGCGACAATCCGGGCAGAAGCTCAAACACTCAATGGGGGGAAAACAGAACACAGAACAAACTCAATTGCCGCAGCCCAGTCGGGGATCTATTTACGAGTAGCTCTCTCTCTCTCTCTCTCCACTCAATGGCAAATTCAGTATTAATTAGTACAAATTGCGCTTAAATGCGTTGGGTGTTGGTGAGCGTTGGGCTGGTTTTTACACGCTATTTGGCCAGAGATACAGACACATGAGCATGAGGGTCCTTGCCACACACACCAATAGAATATCGAATAGAAGCTGCTGCAGGAGCAGGAGGGCAGACCATCATGTCGTATTTAGTTTTATATGCTTGTCACTGACACAAGCAGACGGACAAACGGACAGACAGACAAAAGTGTGAGAGCAAGAGTGTGAGGGCTTTGTCAATGTATTTATTACGCATACGACATGTTGTTCATTCGCTCAACCCCTGAAGTGGCAGAAGGGCAGACATAAAAGCCTGCAAGTAAATGCTAGAATAACTGAAAATTTAATGCGGAAAAGGTCTGCCTCAGTTGTTGATTAAGTCTGCTGGAAAATATTAAAGTATTAGCAAGGAAATCATTTTCTATCCTTTCAACATCGGAATTATATCATTCGTCTGTGCTGTACCATTTTTCGGCATCTATATATCTCTATATTTTCTTAGTTTTTAGAAGATTTTAAGAGCTACCAGGTATCATACGGTCGCAACAGAACCTGCCTCTAGTTTTATATTTATCCATAAACCACTTACTCTATAAAATAATTTTGAATTGCTTTGGACGCCCGAAAAAACAAAAGTTAATGTGACAATGGAAACTCAGGCGAAGCAGAAGGCCAGACCGAAAGTCTGGCCTGAGTTTTCACGAAAGTTCAAAATGGTTTGGCAATGGGCGGGAGGCTAAGCCAACTACGATAGCACCACCAACTAAACAATAAGCAATGTTTATACAAACTAAAATCCACACAGAAGACCGCTGGCTGGCTGGTTGGATGACTGGATGACTGGCCCCATTTTCAGCTTAATTGTTGGGCCAGGGCTCTTGGCCAGGCTAAAACCACACTTAAGGCTTTTAGTTACATTTAGTTTACTGTTGTCGTCTACTTCCCAGCGAGGCACACGGAAAAACATTCGCCAAAAAATACACGCGCACACACACAAAAATATAAACAGACCTTGCCCTCAGCCCTGGGCTTTGGGCCCTGAGCCACGCAAAGTGCCGCAATAAAAGGCCAAAATATAAAAAACTGTTGCATAAAATGTGGCGTGGCCAAAGTGCAACCAAAAAATAAACAGCAAGTCCATGGAAATAAAAGATTAAGACCGGAAGGAATATGGAAGGAAAATCTTTAAAAAGTTGTCTTCAATTCGATTGCGTTAGGGTAGCCGTTTCCATTAAGAGACATACATATTTCTATAAATAATATCTGAACTTAACATGGGTTTTTTGAAAGTACCCTAAAGTCTAATCACAGCTTTGAGAATACATTGAAATATAACAATAACTTAAAGACCAGTCAGTCCTTTTGTAATTCGAAGTTTGCTTTATTTTCTACAGGGAGTAAAACAGCCTTTAGAATATCTCTCCCTCTCTCTGCTATATGTATCTGCCCCAGCTAATGGGCAGGACCTAAAAGTAGACTTTACATAAATAAAATGTCAGCACGCAGTGACTAAACTAATGCGCTCTATGAGCAAAATGAATTTTCCTCTAATGTTGTTAATGTGCTTGGACTGGCACTCAATCCATTTAGATGCGATGGGTTTTGGTTCTGGTTCTGGTTCTGGTTATGGCTGTGGGTTTGGTGTTCTGGTTGGGGATCTGTGCGATGAATGTACGTTTAATTTATGCAAACGTTTGATCTGTTTATGGTACGTTGGGCTACCCTGGATGTGAAGCTTGTTGGGTTGGCTGCTGCTGGGGGTAAGGACTTTGTTTTGAGGTTTTATCAGTGTCATATGCAAATAACCCAGAGTTTGAATATGTTTACCGAACATTTTACATATTTAACAGGCAATGAGTAGGGATTTTTTCTTATTTTTAATCAACTGACAAGACAATGTTTTTCCCTATATTAGAACGAAAATAAAATGATTTCATTGAAAGCTTAACGGAATACATATAAATTAAAATGTGTTGGCCATGAAGGAAAATATATTAAATTGCTGAAGTGATCATCGTATTTTCCCACTCAAGTTATTACAGCTGTGCTCGGGAATAATAAAACCGCGAAAAAGGAAAAAAATAAATTCTTAATTCACACATCAGCCAACGGAAAGTCACGCGTTTGTCATTCTAGTTTGTTGCTTCTGGCAACGGCTTCTGGGCTCTCGGCTCTTGCGCTGCTGCATTTGGCTATAAGTGAGCCAAAGCGGAAGCAGCCAACGAGGCTAACAACTCATGACAATGGCTTTGATGGCGGGGGTGGAGATGGGGCGTAGAGGAAATGGCGTCGAAATAATTCATGTGCAAATGCATTAGACGCTGACTTGCATTGCCACTTGATTGCTGAAGTACACTCGAAGAAAAGAGATGATTGAGTAGGGAGGGGATACTTGAGAGGAAATTTCTAAGTAGGAGGGGTTCGGAAAAGCAAACAGAAGAGATACATATACCACAAGAATATATGATAGGATAAATCCAACAGGAGAATGGAAAGTTTTACTCACCCAAAAACGCTGGTATCGCTCCCATGGGCATCACAAACAGACTGACCAACAAATCGGCTATGGCCAGCGAAAAGAGAAAATAGTTGGTAACATTCTGAAGCTTGCGATCCAATGCGACGGCCAGGCACACGAGAATGTTGCCCAGTCCGCCGGCAAAGATGAAGAATACCACAAACAGGAAGAGCCAATCGTAGCCATGCGGACTATAGTCTAGAAAGCTCTTTGAGATTACAATGTCAGTGGAGGTGGTGGCTGCGGTTGTTGTGGTTGTGGTCAGGGCGGTGTAGTTGGAGAGAATCATATCCAGGCTGGTGCTGGTGCTGCTGCTGCCATTGATGAGGCTGAATGTGTCGTTGGCGGGGCCCATTACATCGCTTAGGTTGAGAAAGGACCAGAGAGCGTCCTCCTGTCCGTTGCCTAGCTCAATTTGAAAGTCACCGCTGGTGAAGGCATCCAATAGACTATCGTCCGAACCCTGCTCCTCCACCCGCTCCCGTTCCCGCTGCTGCATGTGGCATAGAAATGTGTCCTGCTGCTGGCCCACCTCACAGAAGAGCTCGTCTTCTTCCCCATTCCCATCCTCATCCTCACTAAGCCTGCTGCAGTTCGAACTATAGCTAACTGTATCACTCGCATTATCACTGAGGGCCTCTTTGATTACCAGTCGAAATTGCTCATACGCCTCATGGACCACTCGCAACAGTCGTGCATTTAGCCTCGACGTGCAGGCCTCCGCCTCCGCCTCTGGCTCCCATCCCATGCCATGGCATCTATAGAATGCTGTCTGCTCGGCTCGATTGAATGTCTGCTTGGTGCACTGGAATGTATGGCTGCTGTTGCTGTTGATGAGGATGTTGCTGCCGTTGCCGCTACTGTTGCTGGTGGGTGTGATATCTGGGGGATAGCTAGTAGCCTGATACGCTTTGCAGTTAATAAACGGCTGCCAGACCTCAGGCCAAGCCGCCTCTTCCAGGCGACAATTGAAAGTGCTCGGTATGAATGTTGCTCCTGTTGTTGCCGCTGCCGCTGCTGATGGTGTCGTTGGTCCATGACCAGAGTCGCTTTGCATCTCCATTTCATTCTAAAGCTGTGCGGCTCACTTAACCACAACAACAACCCTCTGGATTTGCTGTTGTTCGCCTTCCCACTGCCAAGCTGTTGCTTTCTTTTGAGTGCTAAATTATTGCCTGAAAAAAGAGTTTAAAACAATCATTAAATTACATTTATATATATAGAGATGTAAGTTTGGTGCCATTAAAAGCACTTTAACTTTTTAAGAAAAAGGGCTTATAAAGGGTTGTAAAAGAAGACTTTTTCTCTTGCAAAAGTGAGGAAAATTTGAGCCCAAGGCTTAACAGCAAAGCGTAACAAAGAATGAGCAAATATTTACATTTGCAGTTCAGCTAAGAAAATGTATGAGAATAACAGAGAAGAACATGTTATAATGTAATATATAAAGACACATATTTGTATGAGCAGTTAAGTAAAGAAACTGACTCAGAAAGTCTCTGTACTCGAAAACTGTACTCAAAACTAACGAAGAAATAATTTAAAACCATACTTAAAACCTGCAAACATTTATGGGGATTAAATGTGTTTTAATCCATTGATAATATCCTTTATTTTATTTGTATAAAAATATGTTTATTTGCAGCCTCCACAAATTTTTTACTGATATTTTCCAAAGGGAATTAGTGGCCAACTTTTCACAGAGTTGCTTAATTAGTCACACAAGCAAAAAAGCAGATGGAAAAAGCTGAAAAAACGAGATTAAAATTCTCCCACAGAGAGCAGCAGCCATATTTTCAAATATGTTTTTGTTTGGCCTGTCAATAGCCGACAGCTGAAGAGTTGAGCTCAATGGGATGCATCAGATGATGGTGATGCTCCGCCTCCGTCCCCCGCTCCCCGCTCCTGCTCCCGCTACTTCTGATTCTGATGATGATGTTGATGTTGATGACTATGACTATGACGATGGCAGTGTCAACATGGTGATGCTGCTGACTCGAATTTGAATTCGCTTGAAATGCCACGGCCAACAAAAGGTCCTACGCTCGCCATCACGCTACGCTGTATGTCTTTGAGACACCCTCTTCTGCAGTGTCAGGCGTCAGTCTTCAGTAGTAGAGCTTTTGTGTGGGCTTCACTCCCACGCCTAAAATGGCTTTTCTTTTCCTGGGTATTTAGTTCGCTTTTCACTGGAAAAAATACGCGTATGCTGCTGTCCCTGTCGATAATGACACTCCCACTCACACCCGTGGAAAGCTAATTAAAAATGCACTCGAGCTCAAAGATTGAGCTGCAATTTGCGTTTACATTTTGAATGGCCAACAAATTTACAAATTTAAATTATGCCCCAAAACTTTGTACAGCAAATTGGCTGCAAATTTTGTCATGCGACAGGCATACAAGGTCCCTGTCCCGCAGAATATTGTTCAATCAAAATCTCTATATTTTTTTTGTTCAGAGGCGTCGCCTGGGGAACAAGAGATCGCGACCCAAAAAAGGGCAGAAACTGCAGGCAAGTGATTTGGGCAATCAACCGCAACAGTGGGAGGATTTTATGGTAGTTGCATTGCACCGGCGGACCATCACCCACAAAACCACACTCATACACACACACACGAATCCGCAATTCTGCCGCCGCCATTTGCAATTTTGGCGTGTGAGAAATTTTTTTCTTTGCTGAACAAAAATGGAAATAAACGCGACTGCATTTGTTTTGGCCCTCAAGCATACGATTTCATTGTCAGAGAATGCAGGTAATGCATTTTTAGATGGGATATAAAATATTTATATAATTATTTATGGCTTTATTTCAACGCTGTTTGGTACAAGCCGTGCAGAAAATTATTTCATTGTGATGGAAGTTTTTTTTATTCATACGGAATTCGCACTTTTGTAGTTCTAAAATTCTGGGTTAGGAGTTCAAATTTTCCCTGAAGACTACTTCATTCTCCTCTTGAAAAGCTCCTTCTTCCGCTAGAGCAACCCTAAAGGATCTTTCAACCTTAAAACCACTATGAAATCGCTTATTTTTTCGGTTCATCCATGAGGACGTATCTCTAGTGGATGTCTGTTATGCCCGACGCTCATTTCAACCTTTGACTAAACTCCTCGGGCACTCTCCACACCCCCAGGGCACTCGTTCTTCGGTCTGCTGAGGATGGCACTAGAAGCGCGTTCCATCGCTGGCTTTTTTTTCGCAGAGCGCAGTAATTTTGCAATTTTGGTTTTGGTTTGCTTTATGATTTCCAGCCCCTGGCAGCGGGGGAGGTTAGTTTTCGATTGGATTTGTCGCCTGGGTAACGTCAAACCGATGCAGGCCCCCGAAGTGGGCCAACCATTCACAAAGAGAGAAAGAGAGAGAGAGACTATAGCAAAGGGAGGGGATATAAGTAGGGTGGGACCAAGAATCCCTTATGCATGTGAAATACGCTTTGGCAGTGCACTTTGCCGACTTAATTTGACTGGTGACTCACACAGCGAGATCTCTCTCTCTCTCCATCTCCCGCTGTTCCATATCTATATCCACCTTTACATTCTCATGCCGGGAGAGGCTTTAATGATGTCGCTGCAATTTAAAGTCGAGCTTCAGCTCCCCTATAATGACAGTCAACACTTTTTCCGCTCATGTGAGTGTGTTTTTGTATGGAAGAGGGATACATTTTTGTGCAGGCAGCATGGGACCAGGCCGAGTGCCATAATTAAGTCTCTGTTTGCAGAAAAATAATGATGTCGTTCTGCGGGCCGTCACGAAAGCAAACCTTTGTACAATGTCTGGCCGTAAAAGGGGGACAAAGTCTGTAAGAAATTGAGAACTGAAAGGAATACCTACGAAAATAAGATAAAGCTGGCTATTTGGGGAGTAGAAATGCTGGAAAATATTCATATATGTAGGTTGAAACACTGCTTATACGTAATATAATAATCTCAACATTTCATTCATATACCCTTTAAGCAGCATACACTCATTATTTGATATATGACAAAACTAGAATTAAAACCACATAAAGAAGGCGGGCAAAACTTGTTTCACTGCCAATTTGATCGGACCATGACGGCCACGAGCAAACATTGAATGCAAAACTACAATAAAAGCAGGAAAAATAATATTTGTTTGATTGTAATTCAATATTTGTCTTATGGTTTATGTGTCTCGAGCGCACCGCTCGACCGACTGATGAGCAAAGTATACGTATCGATTAAAAGTGGAACTTGTACTAGTCCTCGTACTTGCGCTGCCCGCCCCCAGTGATCTGTGACTAACAACCTGGTCTCCATTTCTTATTTATATTCTATTTCTACGAGTGGTTGACCAACTGTATTAACATTGTTTCCTCGCTGATGTCTATTGTTCGAGTTACGGTTGCTGTCGTGTCGGCACTCGTGGGTGTGGTTTAACTTGCGGTTAATTATGCAATTAATTATTAACGGGCCGTTGCATTTTGCATTTGCTTTCCTCTCGTCTCCTTCACACTTTTTCTCTGGTTTGAAATTTCACTTTGTTTTAGAGAAATACTTCATTCGATGGTTATGTTTACTGAATTATAATACCCTTTCTGTTGGAAGGGGCATGACCAAGGGGGTGTATCGTATGGGATTACAAATGAATTAATTGCAACACATTTCTGCCGGCCCTCTCTGTAACAGAACACTTTTTGGCCCCTACCGACGCGTACAAAAGATGATCCAAAAAAGACAGCAACTTAATTGGAAGTGGGTTCTGGTCTGAGTGATTTGTCAAAAGTGTCGTTGCTTCAGTCCTTCAATCCCACTCCTAAGCCACCACACCACCACTCCACCCATCCCTCATCATCAATTACAGCATGTCCGACAATCAAGTGGCCGACAAGAATTTTCGGCGAGAAAACTTCATTAAGCGGTTTATTCGTTGCCCTACGGCTACAGTGCGCACTCCCCAGACGCCACACAAATGAACAGTGAACGATATTCTCGTAGATGAGTACGAAGGGCGCAGGAAAATGGTTAAGGAAGAAGGCCTCGTACTGCTGACTGTCTCGCCTGGTATGCAGTTAATGAAGAGAAATGGCCAAAAGTGTTTTATAAATGTTTACCCTTCAAATTGCTTTGGCTTTGCTATGCGGGTATACAGATTATGGGTTGGGGTTTGGCAATACAATAATAATTGATCACTAATTGAATGGATTTCTGGTAAGACTGGTCTCCCTGCGATTGTCCATCCAACTTTCTGTATTGATTGTAGGCTGCGACATGCATGTCCCACTTTTGTGTAGAGCATCTGCCATTCCTCTATACAACTTTCAATGAATTTTTAATGTTGTTCTTTGCTATTGCTTCCTGTTGTTGCTGCTGCTGCTGCTGTTTGGTGCTCTGGCTTTTGCGGTTGTGTTTTGCGGAAGTGTGCATCAATAAATTTTCGTTTTTTACGTGTTGGTATTTTCGGCATTTTGGGTATTTTTTCGGTACATCGCGCCACACGCATTTTCCTAATAACTTGTAGGCTTTAATGGCTATGCCAGTACTAAGATATGGAGCAAATCCCCACCTCCCCCGAAAGTATATACATAGAGGGAGATATATGCCTGGCTATTAATCTGGCTGCCTGGCGACTGCTCGTCCGACCCCCGAAATGTAAATGAACCGAAAGAGTGCACTAAAGTTGAACGAAAAGATATTCTTGGCTCTTGAAATATGCCTGGCACGTTGCAAACCCACACCGAAACCCAAAACAAATGAACCCAAAAAAGCGGCGACAAATAACCGGAGCAGATATGAAAGATATGGAATGTGCAACGTGCATTGAACTGTGTGGTCCTGCTCCCCTTGCCACAGGAATGGAGAGAGAGAGAGAGAGAGAGAGAGAGAGAGAGAGAAAGAGCTTTATTTTGGCAGTGCAGGGATTATCAGAATGAATTGCAAACAAAACGGGATTTTACACTGAATATTTTAATAAATGAAATCATATTTTTGGCATTGTACCCTGCAGTGAAGAGATAGGGTATATGGGTGGCACGTAGCTTTGTGGCAGAGGTGGAAGGAAGTGTTTGGAATACATTTACTCTGTGAATTTGAATAAATTGAATTATTTCCATCGACGGTGTAATGTGACAAGAGGTAAACTCATAGTCGTATTACTCGCCTTTAGCATCACTTTAATCTGCATTCAACAGCCAATAACTATCTTAGTCACAGATCAAGTAAATTAAAATAAACATATTTGATTGGTGAATATTTCAATTGGTTTCACTTTTTCCCAATCAATTACCACACACACAAACAACTGCTGTCAATCAGCCAGAAATACTCGCATAGAAAATCTCCATGCGAATGCTGGGCGACACTGACAGCTCTCAACTATTTGCCTGGTTTATCCAATAGCTCAATCAAAAACGCATCAGATATCGCTTGGCAAACGTTTCTGTCATTGAGTGCTAATAGCCGGCTGCCACTTGACCTCGCAGCCACTTAGCTCTAGAGGGAACGATGAGGTCTGTGTGTCATCTGGAGATTCAAATGAAAGGTTCTAGTATTCACTATTCTTGGCTTGAATTGAATTTGCGTAAATAATTGCAAAACTGTTCTCTTTGCGTTAGGAGCAGTGCTAATTTAATGTTCAAAATCCAATTTCCCCAAAAACTGGAAACAACATCATTAAGAACTTCTGGCATTCCGGCTATGCTATGTGAGAACATTTGTTCTGCAGATTTATGGCGGAATGTCTAAGGCCCTGTTTTACAGCACTGCCCGAAAATGATTATTTATACTCGTATGTGTGTGGAAAATCAGTAAAAATAAAACAGGAACGACTTTGGCCTCCCACAAGAAGTTGGAAGATGATTTAGGGCCTTGCCAATGCATATGGAATGTATTTTTGTGTGAAAGAAAGTTTTGAACCTAACCGGAAGAAGAATACTCTTGAAGTATTATGGGAAAGGGTTTTCTAACCTAGCAGGAAATCTGTTACTGATAGTTAACAATGCTTATCCCTTCTCTCCAAGCCCAAGCCCAGGTCCCACCCTAAACAAAAGGCAACCTTAAGTTTCAGCTTAAGCCCATTCATAAGGTGGCTTCCCTGCACTGTGAGTATGAATCCCTATATCCTATGGCCGTAGAGACATAGCCAGCCCCGTCCTGCTTGTGCCCTTAGCCGTGTCATTTGGTAGGTGGCAAGTGCAACTTGCACTAATGCACATTGAGCCAGACATTGTGGCGCAAAGTAGTTCAAGGCTCGCCGCAGAGCCAAGTCTTGTCCTTTGCCAAAACCTGGTACTGCACTTTACTCTTCCTCCACCCACCGGGTCGGGCCACTCACTTAGCAGAGCATTTTCACCTGAGATGCGTTTAAAATGCCAGGTATGAAAAGCTGCAAGTAGCTTCTGTACTGAAACATTGCGCATACGTCATGTTGTGCACAGAAATAGTTGTACATAAGCAAACAGGCAGTCAGGGAGGTAGGAAGAGTGGGAGAGGGGAAGAAACCAACGCGTGTTGGTTTTTTATTTATGCATATTTCACTTTCTGGCTTTCATTTTAGCCATGCTGTTGTCATTCATTTGTTTGACAACGTTTTGTGTTTGCTGGCAATCAGCCAAGGCTAATAAAAGAACGGCCTACACGTCGCGCATAAGCTAAATAAAATCATTCTCAACCGACTGCAACTAATTTGCGTTGAATTAAGCCAATTGCCTGCGTTTAACACGTTTTATTTTAAATTAAATAGAACTGATGCGAGTATAATTAAAGCCAGAAAATAGTTTGTGGTGTTTGCTCGGTCAAATGGCTTACAATTTATATGATTGAATGTGATTGAATCTGATTGGACAGTGTTTTGGCTTCAATTGTCAAATTATGTCAGGGACTGGCATCGTTCTTGGTTTGACCATTTAGTCCATCAAAGGCGCAGGCATATTCTCCTGCTTAGCTTCGATGTGCACGAGATCTTTGGGCACTCGAGTCGACTTCGGCCTCGAGTCTTTTGGTTCTAGCTTTGAGATTGCTTTGAAATGGTTGGTGAATATGAACGAATGATAGCGCTTGGCCAGTGTTTCACACTTTAGGGTCTCGTAGGGATTCTCCCTATAGCAAGTGGTCAGTTCCTTCTCCATCTGTTTAATTTCGCCTTCGAGGTCCTCGGTCCATTTCATCGGTGTGCCAAAGAGCTCCTCCACACGTTTCACAGATTCATGGAATTGGCTCTCCTCCATCTCCACTGCGCGCTTCTTCCAGGGCCAGTCCACGGGTTCCACCTCCGGGACCTCCTTCGACTGGTGCTCCAGAGTGGATGGAGCGTCACCCGAACCGGAAACAGACAGGATCTTCTTCTTGCACTGCTCGCAACTCCCAGATTCTCCTGAAGTCTTAGCCATTTCCTCCCTGGCCTGCTCAAGTCGCTCAACCACCTCGCGAGAAATTTGGAATGGATTGGGATTGACAATTTCGGCGCTCCGAGGCTGGCTACTTGTAGCACCCATTTTGTAATGTTTTTTTGCGAAACTTTTGTCCTACAATTTCTATTATTTATTATTTGTTCTGAGAGAAAGAGTAAACTTATTTAAATTGATTGTAAACCCTTGGGTGGAGAGACTTACTAAAATGTGGACTTGTTTTGAAAAGCAAATTCAGACTTGAGTAAGGGGTGTATGCCTCCTATGAGAGCTGTTCCTTCATTAGAGATTGGAAGATACTGTACAGCAGTGCCGATGCATATTGAATGAATTTTTGTGTCAAAGAAAGTTTATGCATGCCACAAAAGTTTGAATACTCTTAAGGATTATGCAACTAGTTAAAAGTTTTCCGGGAAAGTTTTCTCTCAAAAATTGTTTTGGAATACGACTTTAAAATGCTATGCTAGAATTCAGGAAACATTGAATGATGGTTCTTAACTGAGTATTTCTGCCTCTCATGAGGTTATTCATCTTTTATCTGTTCTGACTTTGAGCATCTTTAAAGAGCATTCTATTTTTATTGCAATTCAAACCGTTTCCATTTCAAATTAAGCATCTATTGTCTCCTGTTACACATGTTCTGCGACGCGTTTGAATAATGAAAACTTTTGCAGCCATATACGGTTGCAACGTGCCCCTGTCTCAGTCTGAGTCTCTGTTGCTGATGCTGTCTCTGCCTCATGCCCCATGCTCTACCCCAGACAGACTCCCTCGTTGGCGGTGTCTTAATTGTGCTGTCAATCATTTTGCATATTTGCACAAATCCAACAGAGAAATAAAAGGAAACACAAATGAGCGCGAAAAAAGTAAAATAAAATGAAAATGTTTGATGGCCAGCGGAAACACACAACAAATTGTGATGGGAAATGAATTTAAATACAAGTATATGGAAAATAAGGAGGCTGAACGAAATGACAAATCATGGGAAACCTGCTGACGGGCAACAGCAAGAGGTCGCACTTATTGAATAATTTATTAATAATATTTATTGATTGTTGATGCTCGATTGCTCGATAGCTCGTGATTGCAATTTACACAGCAGCCAATTAAATGATAAGCCATCAATTAGCCAAAAGGCAGCATAGCATATGTACATAGACACTCGCATATCTTTCAACTACCCGTTTGGCATAAGAATGTTTGAACAATTGCTCAAAGTCAGCAGCGGCAAGACGATTAATCGCTGGCGTCAGTTCATCGATCGATCGGATGGATAGATATGTGAGGCATAGGCCCGGAGCTGGACCCGGACCCCACATACACCTTATTGTTTTGGCATTTCAGTAATGCCCAACTAAACACATTTTTGCCGTTAAACAAATTACCAAGAGGATGGACTCACTGGAATGCAAATTTCTTTAAAAAAAACAAGGGAATCTATTGATACAAATTTCTATGTTAAAAACTACCTGGTAATATATTTCATAAATATAAGTAACGTATACAAATGGTATCTCTTAAATATTAAATATATGGGACTATTACTATTACAAGGAAACAAAGCTTTTTTCTGGACTAAGATTTTGAGGATAATATGCTTTGGTCTGATTTATCAAATCAGTATGTTGAAGAGGATAATGTCAACTGATTATATGGTAAACATCTTTCAATTACAGGGTACGCCGCACTTCCAATCTCTAAGGCTTAGCTTCCCCATTTGTTTGTTCTGAATTTATGCATCCGATTTTTGATTGGATTTAACTTTTGAGTTGATAGAAAAGTTGTTTGGGGCATTAAATTTTTTGCACCGCTGCGGAACAGTCATAAAATATACCACTTTACTTTAAGGCGATTATATAGTCAAATCATAAGGCTATAGATATGGAATGTGTGGGGGAGAGGGGGATTTCCATGAATGAATTTAAATTGAATGCAATATCCGCGCTCTGGGCTCAAAATTGTGCTTATTTTTTCGTTCAATTGTTTCAGATTGCGTACATATACACACATAAATCTATAACGAGTACGAGTATCTTTGGATAAATAGAAAGGAATGAGGCCCCCGAGAGAGATAAATGCTGATACTTGTGCTTGAATTTATTTGTTTTTGCCTGCCGCACGCCGCAGTCTACCATGAAGACGATGATGGGATGGTCAAAATATTTAAGAAATTTGATTGCCATATAAAATATGGTTTGTGTTGATTGAATCTTGATATATGTACGCGTACAAGTAGGTCCATGCGGACATGCCTGATCGATAACCATATGAGCAATGTAAATTTGCAGTTGAAAGATATGAATACATATGTACATATATCTATCAATATATTGTTGAATGTGTTTTTGTAAATCAGTTTTGGATTTGTGTATCGGCGATAAACAAAATAAGATACACTGAAGTGAATAAAAGATGCAACAACACATGGAATGAATGAATGAAAAAGAGGGAATTTCATGCGTTGAATTCCGAATAAATTGGCATGAATCTTGAACTTGAAAAACGAAAATACTTAGTTCCAGAACAGATGCAAATCTTTCCCTGATTAAAGTTTTCTCTTCCACAGCTCTACAAATTATGGCAAGCCATAAGCGATGTCCTTGAGACTTAGACCCGTCCCCCAACTCATCTTTCGTACCTATTTCATTGCCAAAATCTGTAGCTTTACTTTTACCCAAACCACTTTAGTAATGTCCCACACTTGAGCCAAAAGTGTCATAACTTTGATGCCTGTTGCTGACAGACCCTCAAAGGCTGGCATAAAACAGGCTCAAAGCTGGCTCAAACACCTCGGAAAAGCCAGAAAAGCGACAGAACAAAATAGAATTACTGTCAGGTAATCAGCGGCAGTTTATGTTCATTTGGTCCACTAAACTTTTACGGCCGTTCCACTTATCTGCCCGAATTTGTCTACGGGTCCCACACAAAATGGCAATCGCTTCATCTTAATGACAGCTGTGGTCCTGATAGGAGGATCTGTCCGTCCCTAGACCTAGGCATAATTTCAGCCATGTCCGTTATGTCTCATTAAAACTTTACGCACATCAGCAGGATCTGCTGGAGCAACAGTAGCAAAAAATCCTAATAGTTTAATTTCCTGACAAGCGACCAAAAAATAAAAGCAAATGAACATGAAAAGGTGGAAAGGTGCAATAGGAAAGGCCTAGGTCTCGGGAGGAAAGACAAAAGGTAACCGAAAACAAAGAGAAATGGCAAACATTTGGTTTTCGGTTTCTTGGCAATAAATCTTGTTTTTGCCTTTTGCTGACATGTGAGTAATCATGTGTGAGTCGGTCCACAAAAGGTTTGGGGGGGTTAGATGTTAGACCTGTGATACGGGATACGGAAAAGGACGAACGGATACCGGTTGAGGTACGGACCTAACTTTAAGTTAATTTTCTTCGTCTCGCTTTGATCCCTCTTTTAAAAAATCGCATTCCCAGGTTTTCCCATTTGTCATTTCGCTGTGTGACTTACTGGAAATTGTTCCTGTTAATGCTATTTGCTTTTCATTACTAATTCGTATTCGTGGGTGACTCACGGTGAGACGGGCACAACCAGCGTGAAAATTTACATTTAATTACGTAATGAGAGGTTTGGGAGGGGGGCACCATTTTTTACACGAATTTCGCTTTGCTTTGATTTCCGGCGGTTCTTCCTTCCACACACAGTGTTTTCGTTTTCTATTTGGTAATGCGCACGGAGGAACACCCATATCTTACACCTGCAAAAGCCCTTGAAGCTATTTTTTTAAATTAATTTGCATTTGAAACAATTGCGTGCCCTGTTTGCTTACTATTTAACTTATTTTTTCGCTTTTTAGCTTAATTAAACTAGCACGAAACGTGTCGGGCATTTAGCTTTAACAATGGACATTTACGGGAAACGAAACAGAACTACGACAACGGGTTTCTGAGGAAATTAAACTTCCTTTGGGGATGTTATGGATAGTTCGAGGCAGCCAGCAAACTGCATTCAATTTGGTGACAATAGATAAATTGGATGTTCGAAAGAAAGAAGTAAGGAAATTCTGATCAAAGGGGTTCCAATTGTGTACCTCTAGCATCACTTCTTAGGTTTATAAGTGTATACAAAAATATCAGAAGACGACCTAGATTTACCTACCTTTTTATAGATTCCAAGGATCGAAAATTGCGGCTTACTTTGACAAAATTAAATTTGCTTTATTAAATCTTGATGGCAATAGGTCTTCTGTTTGTTAAACCACATTTACAATTTACTTTAGGCTTTCTAAAAAAGCACACACTCGAACTACACACGTGTTTGAGAAATGTTTTCTCATTATTTGTATATTTGCATTTGGTTTTTGTTTTTTGGTTTTGTTTTAGCAGTAATATTTTGCTGATTTTTCATTTATTTATGGAAAGAACTGCAGTTGACAGGTGCCGCTGAATAGCAAACAAACATTTTGCACATATTCATTTCCCCATCTCATTATTAAATTTTGCTCACAAAAAAACACATTCATTTTAATTTCTTATCAACCATGAAAGGTGTGGATAATTGGCTAACCTATTTTACACAAAACGATGAGCTTATTTTAAAATAATTTTTTGATATACTTGTTTTAATATTATTTTTATTGAACTTAAATATTTGTTCGAAATTTACACTGAACTTTGATCTTTGCTCGAATTATTTTTTAGTTTTGAGTGGAAGGAGCACGCTTTTGCTGGCGAACGCAACGCGGCAAAATTTCAAAACAAACTGATTGTGCGAATTTTCCAAACTGGTCCATTGGGTCTGAAAAGCAAGTGGAAAACAGTCGCAGTCGCAGTCGAAGCTGCTGTCGGCGTTGGCGTCAGCTTCACGCTCTCTCGATGTGTCTCTCTCTCTATGGTGTGCTCTCTGCTGGGAAAATAGTGGGAAATTCTCCTGACTTTGTTTGGGAAATTTTCCAAATAGACTGACGCCGCTTTTCCTGTCAGCCTCTAGGGTGTCCGAGGGAGATGGTGCGGTTCTGTTGCCGGGTTAGATGATGGCCACGTGCTTTGGCTCCATGGCTGTCAACATTCAGTACGTGCAGCTGCCATTCCTCTCTGCCTATCTTTGCCCCCTAAAACCGTGCGTATTTTATGAATGAATTATATACAGAATAGCAGAAAAAAATCATTAGAGTGTTAGATGGGAGAACCTATGGTAGAGGTCTCAAATGTATGCTCTCTACTTCAGGTAGGACTCAATTTAATCGGTTTAAGATATTTATTTAATGAGCTTTAGCTAGAAATATTACAAGGTTTCCCTTGGATTTAGTTCAAACCAACAGCAACACCACTTCCGTTTCCCTTTCGTATTCGGCGTCTTATTTTTCTCGTTTTTTATACATATATTTTAAATGTAATTTATCGAAACGTGCATTGGTTTCTCTATATATGGCAAATGGTAGAAATTTCGGTGTGTCAACGAAAAATAAACACACACTCCCACATAAGAGTATGCACATAAATGTACACATATATTGTGTATGTTATGGACGTGTTTCGAATGTTTCATGTTGTTCGGGGGCCACACACCATTTTGACATTACTCCTGGGTACCAAAAGATGTAAACATATTTGTATGGTTGCTTTACAACGTCGGTATTTAATAGCTGGCACTGATTTCCTCTGCTGACAGAGCGGAACACCCTTGGAAAATGTGTCCATGTGGCCAGGTGGAAAGGAAAATTTGGCCATAACATTGATATAGAGATGGAGAGAGAGCGTTTATTCTATTGATTGTAGAGCCCCAAGATCCCATCGAAGGCCAGAACTTATCCGCTACATCATGCACGTCAGTTTTACGTGCCTGCCATTTATTTATTGGTTTATACAGAACCCTCTGCCTCTCTCTCTCTCTTCTAAGCAAAATCCGCTCTCTATATGGAGGTTAACTGTTGCTTGCCCTTGGTTGCACATTCGCGTTGCATTGCCAGTGCGACACGTGTCCCGCTGGGTGCCATAAAAAACTGGCTAGTGAAAAAAAGCTGAAAAGTTGTTCCAACGTGCCACCGCGGCGTATGCGTATGCGTAATGTGAGATGCATTGGCATTGCCTTTCCCCCTCTCGGTTTTTGTGTGTTTGCCACAGACTCTATCTCCGCTTGCCACACACTCTGTATCTTTCTCTGTCATTCGAAGACAAATTTCAATGGCAGCCGCAGAACCAACAACAGCGACAACCATTTGATGCGGTCGAGAGAAAGTCTTATTTAATGGTTTCTATCTTGTCTGAATTGCCTGCACACAAACATTGACACCTCGACCACTGTTTGCACAACCAGCTAACAGAGGGGTGCAAACATAGGGGTTTCGGCTAGTTTAGTTATTCATTTCACTGTACCACCATATGATGCTAGCCTCGTAATCAATTCGAAAGCCCGAAAATTCAGATTAAATTCGAAATTGCCAGTTTTCCCAACTCTTTTTGAAATAATTTAGGGCACGGCGGTGGTGGAGGGGGGAGGTAGATGGTTATGTCTGTGTTTTGGGATTCCCGCAACTTCTGTTTTCGATGTCTTTGGTTTTATTTTATTTACCAACAAATGTACCAAGCAGCTGCTGGGCTAATGGCCGAGAGGAGACCAATTTAAATGCCAAGAAGGATGGCCTAGTGACGTCAGATGTCTGAAAAATGGATTTAGAGGGGGAAGGTAGCTATAACTTAATGTCTACAAGAAAATTTCGAAATTTCCAGCTAAATATTTGTTTCTGGATAATTATCTCTATATTCCATATGTACATATTTCGAGCTATAGAGATCCCTCAGAGAAGGGAACTTTTGCTTGGATGGCATGAGACTTCTTTCCATGAACTAAAAGCATAGGAAGTCCTAAACAGCTCAACCTGGTAAAAAAAACTTTAAAATAACTTTCCTAGAAATTCACATTTCAAATGCTCTCCATAAACTTATATTTATAGTTATTTTCTCTACAGACTTTTTATGAACCAATTTAGATTCAACACTCAATACACACATTTTTATAGGCAGCACGAGTACTCTCACTTTATTTATATGTAACTCTCAGTGACAATTGGGATGTTTTTATGCCCACCATTGAATAATTTTGCTTTCATATACTTTCCGCTCATGTCCGTGTGTTCCCCAATCTTCCCCAATCTAGAAGTCCATCAAAGCGTCAGATACCCGAAAAGTTATGCCAAATATTTATTTAATAAACAAACTGGCATTGGAAAAACAGCAGCAGGAACAGCAGCAGTAACATCAGCAGCACGAAATAACTTGGACAACTTTCTATGGGCAAATTTAATAAAAAAGTTAAATAGAATACCATGAGACGAGTGCCGGTAAAAGTTGTACTAGGGATAAATATTACGTTTTTGGAGGCAACAGTGGAAACGAGTATCCAACAGATGGAATGGGAAATCAGAGGAAAAACGTTAACGTGCGTTGGCATTAATTTGATAATTCAAAACACCGCACGATACTCATACGGCCCATTAAACAATCTGTGAGCCAATGCCAAGCCTCAATTCTGTGCCCCTCTCTCTCTCTCTCTCTGAAAATCCCTTTTGAACTGGTGCTCGTTGGTTAAATGGCCTAAAAGTAGACAACAAAAGCAACAAAGCCAGGCTGCGTTTAAGTAGCTCCCTCTAAGCATCCTAATCAAGGACATTAAAAGCAATTGCTTGTCTGCTCGTCTCCTCTGAGTAGATTTCTTGTTTCCTCTGCCACTTTATCTGTGTTCGTTTCCGTCCGTGCTTCCACCTGCAGGCTATTCCCCGTCATAATCGTCAAAGTTTAGTGTGAAAATAAATATTTGCATATTTGTTGTGATTTTACTTTATGCTCGAACTTATCGGTAATCGCCCAGGCAATCAGCTAATTTGTATTAGACCGGAATTAGACGAGACAAGCAGCGTTTACATTTGTGTTTGAATAGTCACGTCGATAGGAGGAGTATGGATAGGTGTTGGAAGTACTCGTATTGGGGAAATGCACTTCAGATATATCAAATGTTGATACCAATCTGTCCTGATTAGCAGAGGGAGTTTTACGTTCGAGAGTCGAACTGCTCTACGCACGTTTTTTTTTTTTTTACCGATTTTAAAGAGAATTGTATAGAAAGACGATACAATTGAATAAAATTATAATAATTTATAATGGCTTCTCCAATGTAATAAATAATGAAGTAGAATTAGTTTTTACTTTCAGGATTTCCATTATTAAATAGAAAGCTCCTGATAACTTCTCAATTAGCCTTTCAGCCGCTCAATCCACCTTATTGAATTAGATTTTCCTTACTGCCGGTTCCGTCTTCCCTTTCTTCAGAAATCGTTTTCACTGCCTCAACCGTTGACTGACTTCGTTCCACGAAACAAACTAATTCAACATTATTGTTTGCATTCGTCTTAAATTGTCCATGGTTAATTAGCAAAGTTTTCGATTTCAAAAATCCAAACGAAAAGTGAATGAAAGCTTTTGCGACTCCCCCACTGTCTGAGTCAATTTTAAAGTTTAAATGAATTTCGCCAGTGAAGGCAATTAGTTGGACTGTCTAAATACGGAGATAATTATTTTTTATTGCCAGTTTTTTTTTTTTAATTATGCACATTTCCATAGCAGACACCAGCATGCTTTATTTATATTTTTGTAGCGTTTTCAAATGGAGACAAAAAAGCCATAAAATGACACAGAAAACAATGGGAAAGCCGATACGTTTTGTATGGGTCTTCATTTGCATGAAAGGCACAAAGGCCACCACAAACACATATGCAAATATACTCACACATATATATACTTAAACATATATATAAATATAGTATATTCAACACATACTCATACATATTTATGTTCTGTGTGTGTAAGAACAAACAAATCCCCAGGCGCGCAACAGGATGAGACTGAAACCAAAATCCAAAGCGACATACCAGAAGCAGAAGCAAAAGCAGCCGCAGCAAACCTGAACAAAAACAAATTAGGCTTAATGGTATATGTATTAAATTAAATTGTTTTATAAAAAATTGAAAGAAAAAACCTGAAGTCGTGGAGAAAAAATTGGTTTGAGCAGGAAGCCTCCAACTCTGGAGTCTGTTATGGACAGAAGAATTGAATTGAAATCGATTTTGTGCGTATTAATCTACAAATTGAAAGGAAGCACGACAAAAAGGTGAAGTGGTACAGAATCCATACATTACATTGATATTTTGGGAAGAAGATTCAATTGAAGCCAAAGGGCTAATCTTTATTGAATGGATTTTCAGGTTATGTAGTATGTCTTCTGGCGAAATCTTTTTTGTATATACATATTTAAATAAGTAGCAGATTTTGGAAACACATACAATCGAAGCTCTTCAATAAATTCTT